ACTTATCTTCTTCAATATTCCAAAACCCTATGGAAAAAACCCATTGGCTTTTTGTTGTGGGAGCCCTTGCGATGCTAACTTCCAGGTCATCACTGCACCACTTTATAATCAGAAGGACTTGATATCAACAAGAGGAGTTGTGTTGGTGGCTCTGTTGTGTGTTTTGCTGTTCCTTTTTGTGAATTTCTTTTTTACACTGTTTTGTACTACACTGAATGACTGATTCCTTCTTATGCAAGGTTTTGTACACACACAGGTGCCCCTATTACCACGCTAACCTGCCAGCAAAGCCTCGGGCCTCCACTATAATTAAGTTAAAGTAGAGACATCGTGTACGTCTATGGACGTGTAACCGTCGTCCTGTTGCCTGTGACTGCTGTTAGTGTTTCTCAGCAGCACTGCCACGTTGGATATGTAGAAAGAGATCTATATACTTGCTCTGCATCCAGTGAGTGCTACTGTTTGTACTCCCAACAATTATATAACTGTTCAACATTTTCCAAAGTCACCGTTTTATATTATTTGCTCCTGATCTTTTGCCCAGATATGTTTAGATTAGATTGAGTCAATAATGTTTTAAGTCAGATAAGGTTTAGGGTAACCTTAACTATTGGGCAAACCTAATTTTATATTTGTGTCCGTGATTTTCTGTACATGTTTAAAACAGCCCCTTATTTCCTGAAAACCAAATATTTTTGATCATGTTATATGTAATCAACTGATGTTTACAGGACACCAAATAATATCTGTTAACTGTTGAACCACCTGCACAAGAAATAAAGATATTTAAAAAAAAACACATAGATTTTCTCCTTTTAATGTTTCCGTCTTGTGTCAGTCACTTTAAAGATCATCATCGGTTCACTTCAATAGAAAAATCAAACTAACAGGATTGTAGTTGGTATAGTACCTCAGGCACACACAGTTTAGAAACAGTTGCAGAGGTGCTGCATACAAACAAACAAACAGTACACAGTGTTAGTTCAAGGAAGGTTAGACAGCAAATGCATTTGTGTTAACCACAAGTAAACTCCACACTGCTGTATACAGTGACAACCGCTGTATGCATGTTATATTTAGATATGTATTGTAGTTTTTCTTTGATAAGCTGCTGGATGGCAGTAGTGACGGATAAACATTTCAGGAAAAAGCAAAAAAAAAAGTCACAATAAATCACTATTTCCCCCATTCACAATATCTCTTATGAAAAGGCAATATTCAATATAGGCTCTATTTACCTACACAAATATACTATGAGCTGTGCTTGTCTTCGACCAGTTAAAATCTATTATTGCTTTTATTTCTCCTCACCATATATAACTCCTGATGGCAGACAGGAGCTCTCTCACCTATTAGGGATGTTCATTACATTTTACATTATGTCCATACATTCAGTAGTAAACATGTGCCCACCTAACTTCTACGGTCAGCTAAAATCTGTATTAAAGTGATTTGTAACAACTGATGACAAGTGAACTACTTATCTCTGAGGCAGAACACTTTTTCTTAAATTTCACAAGTCTTGCATACCAGATGATGAGTCTGTGCGATGACAGGAAGAAGGCGGTAGAAAGAAAACCATGTGAGATGAAGCTAGCCTGAAGAAGTGACATTCTCTGATTCCTAGACACCTGACAGCATAAGGAATAGATCATCCACCTCATTTGTTTTTAACTGCTACAGCAAACCAAGCCCTACAAACTGAAGAGGTAATTGATGAAGGCAGCGATGGCTAAAATACTAACACTACTTCATGGTAGCCATTTTTGTAGCAGTAAAAGCATGACTACCCCTCAATCCTCATCACAGAAGTTAAAGGTCCCATGTCATGGCCATTTCTACTGATCATAATTCCATTGTTGAGGTCTACTAGAATAGATTTACATTGTTCAATGTTCCAAAATCACATTGGTTTTCTCATACAGCATCTCTGTATAGTATGTGTATTCACTCTCTGTCCTACATGGCTTGTTGGAGCTCCTGCCCCCCCAACCCCCCGTCCCCTCCCCTCCCTATGAGCCCACTGTACTCTGATTGGTCAATGGTGTTTCTTAGCAACCAGAAAATGACACCAGTAATGACAAACAGATGAGAATGCTGCGTGGGGTCTGGGTGCCGTGTTGGCGGGACGTTGCGGGGCTCGCTGCTGTGAGGGCGGACAGTGTGAGCTGTATTACTGGTGTCGTTTCCTGGTTGCTGCGTGGGGTCTGCGAGACTCACACACTCGTAGCCTGGCTGTGAGTTTGTGTGTGTGCTCAGGCTGAGTTCAGGCTGTTTCGCGTTGTCTCAGGCTGAGAAATCCGCGGAGCTGCAGCTGAGAAAAGATAAGGCTGACGGCCCGTCCACACAGCAGCTTAAAAAAAATCTTCCAACGCTTCTCTGCCCATTCACTTTGAATGACGTCACTTTGCCTTCTTTCACACACAGTGACGTCACGAGCTACCCACAATGCACCGCGCGCCATATATATATATATATAAATACGCCATTTTCCTGGAGGTGCAAATATCTTGGAGGTGCAAATATAAACAGCTAGCTAACGTCGCCAGGCAGAGCGCATTAGGTTTTTTTTCTGAATTAACGACCGAAGAAATCGCTGCATGTCTTCGGATTACATCTCTGGACTTGAGGGGTGTGCTCTAGGTCGTTACCAGCGTAAACTAGAGCTGTGTGGGTTGTCGGATTGCCCTTACAGACTGCCTGCAGACGTATGGAAAAACGACCCTCGAAAGTGGCCTTCGTCGATTTTGGCAGCATCTACGTCTATCTTCTGGAAACACCAGGTGAATACCCCACTTGTCACAATAATATTATCATGCCAATGCATATATGTGGTATTTTAGAGTTGACTATATTGATTAAGGCAATAGACTATGATATTCAGTACAGGAAGCTTAGCAACACCTAGACGGTGTACGGCTAAACCCTCGGCCTGCTTGCACCTCGCGTAAAATGGCGGATACCGGAAGTACGGTGTCGCCCTCGGCCCAATACCCGTATGTGTGTGTGAAAGAATATATTGCTCGCATAAAATCCCCAGGGTTTTTTGCTTTGTATGTCGGGGGCGGGTGATTCATGTGATTGGTTGTTGGTCGCAAAAAATCCCCACGCTTTCAGACACGCCCACCTCCAAGATTTTCAAGATTTTTTTAAAGCTGCTGTGTGGACGGGCCGTGTGTGTGTGTGTGTGTGTGTGTGTGAGGAAGTCCGCGGGCCGTTACGTCACTTACACCCTTACGTCACTATGACCCAGGAAGAAAAAAATGTAAAAAGAAATATCGCCAACGAGGCGTTCTGGGACATAGACAGGTATTTTCTGTGTTAGAGTTTTACTCGCTACAAGGTGTACTTTGAGGGTTTGTGACTCTGCAGACCGTTTACATGCAGAAAAACCTTCATAACGGGTGGCGCAGTGGTCTGTGCATCTGATCATCAGATCAAGGGGGGTGCTGGGGAACTCCAGTTCGAAACCCGCTCCTGCCGCCACTGCGTCAGGCCGTTGTGTCCTTGGGCAAGACACTTCACCCGGATTTGCTCCTGTGGGTAATGTCCACAGTACATGTATGATACTAATGTGTACTTGTAAAAGCGCCTCGATGACTTTGAGGCGTGAAGATGGACGGTGTGGCGCAGTGCGCTGTGCAATGATCATCAGATCAAGGGGTGAAACACACCGCTGCTGCGTCTGTAAAGCCGTTGTGTCCTTGGGCAAGACACTTCACCTGAACTTGCTCCTGTGGGTATTGTCCACAGTACATGACCATTGCATGTATGATATGTGTAATGTGTATTTGTAAAGCGCTTTGAGCATCTGGAAAAGCGCTATAATAATGTAAGGAATTATTATTATTATTATAACACACAAGGGGACGGGTAAGAACCAGAAAAGCATGACATGGGACCTTTAATTTATGCCGATGTTGCTACATAATTCAGGCATAAAGAATGAAAACAGATGTGTTATTGAAATAATTAAGTCTTACCATGTTTTATAAATATCAGATTCAAAGAGAAAATACCTCTAAACCCTCCCTTTTATCTCTGATCAGCTTTGGTTTGGATTTGGTCATTAACAATATTTTTCTACTATCAAACCTTTTCTAGAAATTAAACTCCAGGTTCTTGGTCCTTTATCAGGGTCACATGCTGTTATTGATAATGTCATGATGCATCGACCCCCATAAATGTATTTTTGGGGAGGAGTAACGTTTCCACGGCCCTGTTTTTTAATATGCTACCCACCACAGTGTCACAGATATTGAGAAGAGCTAGCAGGGTAAGTTCTGCGCTCCTCGAGTTCACACACGCTGCTTCCTGTGATAGATACGGCGCGACTGTAGCCTGAGGCAGCTGGAGTCCATGTGCTGGGAATGTAGGGCGAGGAGAGTGGCGTCCTTTTTCAAAAATAGTTCAGCAGGACACGCTGCAACAAGGGAAGACGGTTTAGTTCAAAGTCCCACTGCTGAAGTGTATTAAGGATGGAGAGGGGACAGTGTGTGTGTGGGGGTGGGGCAGGTTATTGAAGGAGAGAGGTGGGTCTTCTTCTTTCCCCTCATAGTAGAATTTTGACTCCTCCCTGCGGAGACTGGGCGCCCTGGGAGACGCCTCGAGGAGGAGCCGGTCCGAACTCTAACCGCTTCACTAGACTGCAAGACAACATGTAGCAAACACACATCAGCACACATCAGATTGACTTCCTATTCCCATTATTATTAATATTATTTTGGTTCTATTTTATTAATTTCATCCTCTGCTTTTTCATTTGTATGTTTGTTTTATGATCCTATACAAATATTTGTTTGTAAAAAGTGTCTGAGTACTTAGAAAAGCAATATTAAAACAACATGTATTGTTATTATTAGTAGTTTTATTATAACTGGTTGGCTTCACAGACAAAAAGATAACGTTAAGATAATTCTTTATATATAACATATGATAATAAAAAACGCTGATGTTGTACTTTTCATCACAAAATCACAAGTGCAGGGTATTTTAAGGGGCTCTGCAATATATTGATATTACTGTATAGGCTGTAAATGAATATAATACTCTGAACTTCCTTGACTGTTATAGCTATTTCATATTTTGTGAAAGCACCAATAGTTATCCTTACAATATCAATATTGTAACAACTGACTTTATGTAAACATTGAAATCACCACAGGAACCAGAGTTTGCTCTCCAGCCTGTGCAGCCGTCTGTGTCCTCACCTGTCGTACTGAGGGGGGGGGCTCATGCTGCTCGCCTGGACGTCGGACCCCCTCTCTAAAGCAGAGGGACTACCGGGGCCAGCTGAGAGTGCAGGTCTGCTGACAGACGTGTCGTACACAAAGTCTCGACAGGACGCCAACTTTGACTCCAGATTCTGACAGGGAGGATCAAAAGTAGTCAGCTCACTCATCAAAACTAATTATATTTAGTGATAACACATTTATGTTTGCAGGGTTCTTACACCTTTTCCAAAGTCAAATTCAAGCACTTTTCAAGCATTTTCAAGGTGCATTTTCCAGCAGCTTACAGCTGTTGTAAATTACATATTTATATACACATACTCAAATGATTATTTCCCTACCTCACATTAAATCAGATGTTCTTTATGCTATAAACAACCAAATATGTGTTTCGTGATGGCCTTCTACACAAGGATGAAAAATGAAAGAAAAGAAAACTAAGTTTAATATTTCAAAATGAGTGATCTGTACGTAGACTAGGCCTCCCATATAACCTGGCTGAGCCAATATAAAACAATCAGCCAAATAACTTTTCAATACATTATTGATTACTATTTTTGAGGTACTTTTAGGTTAGCAGTAAACATAAGTCAGAGGTACATGGTGTACTTTTACTCCACTACATGTATTTAATACCTTTAGTTACTTTACAGATGTGGATGAATGATGTGAAATCTAACCAAGTGTTGAATGAGACTTTAGTTCCACCTGGAGTAAATCCACAAGCTACCCTGCAGTATACAAAGCCATTCAAACTAGCTGCACCTTTACCAGCTTTGAGAACACTTTCATGATCAATCATTATAAAACATATCATATATATTATTCTGAAATGGACCAATCTGCACAATGACTACTTTTACTGTCTTTAACTATATTTTGTAGGGATGCACCGAATATTCGGCCACCGAAAATTATCGGCCGAAAATGGTTAAAAAGGCCCTTTCGGCCGAATGTCAGAACAGGCTTACGTTGGTAACCTAACGTGTTGTTGTGATGACGTAATAAAGACGCGGCGACCATGCTCGCGGCTGGCTCACAGGGGGGGGGGACATTGACCTTTGTCATCGAGATTGCCCTGAGCCTTTAACAAATCGTATTAAATAATCTGATGACAGACTGTAAACAGAATAGCTGAAATTTTAACAAACTAAATAACTCAGTTTCCTCTAATCATTAACCCATGTTTGTATCATGTATTTAACTCCGTATTTAACTTCGGGTCAATGTGACTGATTTCGAGAGAGCAAGTCACATTTGGTTTAGGCACGAAACATACTACCAGTAGAAATACATTGCTTTCAAAATCGCTCTGTGTCGAATCAATAGATTATATTTCGTGACTATACTGTAACACGAAATGCCGTGAGTGCTTCATCCTCTGAACACCACAGGATGGCGACTGTAACGCACATAACATAGGTACGCTCCTCTGAAATGATCGTCCCCTGCAATTATTATTATTATCCCTCCTGGAGTTCGCTATTCAGCTCGCTAACGTTAGCTTAAACAAACATAACATGCAACGTTAGCCTAATCTAAATGCTCTACTACGGCGTACCTTTCATGTGGCTCGTCAGCGCAGACTCTCGCATCGTTATTTTTGCAAACTTTGCAGGAGGCTACTCGTGGGCTTGACCCTCGTCTTAGCCATGGCTTGTATTTGTCTTCTGCTAGCCAACGCTCGTTGTAACTGCAACCTCCTGGCACACTGTCATCTATCACTCTCATCAGAATGCCCAGGTCACACGTAACACAAACACTTGCAGGTCGCACGCATGGCGCGGGAAGGCCGCAGCAGAGCTGTTTTATGTAGAAGCGAAGCAATTCTTTTCTTTTAATCTAAAAAGCGAACTATTCAGTCAGACAGCAATTTATTGTAAAAGTAAAGCATTTACATTTTCAAGCACTTTATCTCAATTTCAAGCACCATTCCCAAAATGCAAGCACTTTCCCAACCTTGAAAACACCACCTCAAATTTCAAGCATTTTCAAGGATTTCAAGCACCCGTACGAACCCTGTGTTTGGCATGATTTCACTGAGTACTGTAGTATCAAATTCAAATGGCTTACTCCAACTTTTCTGAGTAGCTCCCCGACAATGTTGAGTGCAGATATTCTAGCAGATGTGGTGAGGGGAGTCCCCGTTAGACCATCGCCTAAAACAGAACAGATAGAAACAGGTAAACACATAGTAGGTTATGATGACGTTTTTAAATCACTATCGCTGTAGGTTTAAATGCAGCTTAACGTGTTCTTGTTACCTCGCCGTATACTGGAAGGAGGGGGGGTAGCGAATGAGCTGATGGGCTTGGCGGGTGTTACTGGGACGGCAGTGTTACCGGAGGGGGAGCACAGCAGGTCTGCGTCTTTGCCCAGGCTGCTGGACGGCCGTCTGTCCTTGTGACGCACAGCCAGCTCCTGCCGAAGGTCTGACACAAACAGGAGGCGCTCATTTTCATACAAACTCACAGAAAACTCATAGTCCATGTTATGGATGTTCCTGGAAGTTACATGCTTCTTCTTCACTGGATAGGGTAGAAACACAGGGGTTTTTATAGAAAAATGTAGAATGAGGGCGCTAACGTTAATTCCGGCCAAAATGTTGGCCCCGCCCACTTTCGGGCGAAAATAATGCATTAGAGCCAAGCAGAAAATAATAGTTTCTTCATGTCTTAAAGCTGCTGAGTCATATACTGCACCTCAGACAACACATACATCCAGAGTTAGGGTTTCTTTACTTCCTCTACAGAAAAAAGGACAATAAAAGAAACAATCTAATTCAGAAATCACAGTTTAAGTGTTAGGCTGCTGCTACTGCCTGAAGCATGAATTCAGGTTGAGTTCAGAGAAAGAAAGCTTTTGACCAAATGTCCCATAATAAAATCAAATAAATATGTATTGATTATTCATATAGCTCCATAGTCTCTCCATCGTAATCTAGATTACACTTAAACAACAACACTATGGGTTTTAGAACATTACCTTCTAATCCTTTCAAAAATGAAAAAGAAAAAAATACATACAAATCTACATCCTTTATATGACATTTGGCAGTACAAATTAACACTTGAATACAACTACACATTAGATCACGATAAACAGGAAGCATAGAACAAAAACACAGCACCCAGGATTTAGAGAATTGATCCAGCTATCAAAATTCACTGAGTTAGGCATAAGTGTGCATTTTTAGACAAATCAGCAGTTCTTGTGAACTTGAGAAGCTACAGTGTGTGTGTGTGTGTGTGTGTGTGTGTGTGTGTGTGTGTGTGTGTGTGTGTGTGTGTGTGTGTGTGTGTGTGTGTGTGTGTGTGTGTGTGTGTGTGTGTGTGTGTGTGTGTGTGTGTGGTGTGTGTGTGTACCTCTGGATTCATCCTTCAGCCTCTGCACAGACTCCAGCAGGTTCTCTTTCTCGTCCAACTCGCTTTCCAGAAAAGCGTTCCTCTCTATGACGTGGTTCATCCGCTGCTCAAAGTCCTCCAGAGACATGATGGTGGCTCTGGGACACGCAAAAGAGGACAGGCCATTACAAGTTAACATCACTAAATCAGAATGTGCATGTATTTCCTGTGTGTGTTACAGTCTAATTACGTGTGTGTATGCATGTTAAAAGACACTGACCGTTTAGTCCTCTCCAGGTCGTCGTTGGACTGCTCTAGCTCTCTGATGTATTTCTGCAGGTGATCTCTCACTGCTGTGGTTTGTGCCAGATTTTCCTCCAGGGTTGATATGTGCCTAAAAGCGTCAGAATGCTGCGTCTCAAATTTTTCCTGCAAGCAGACATCACATTATCAGACACTGATTATGTCAAATTTGCACAGTCATGGCATATTTATCAATGCAGCTGTCAGCATTTTTTTAATCTGTGTATTATTTAGTCTCTACAGTAGACAAAAAAGCCCTTTCAATCTTCATTCTCATCTCCAACAACCAATCATAGGTTTTTAAGCACAATCCTGCATTCACTCCCCTTATTTATGTTCTCTTCCCCGGGGACAACTGAACTAAAATAGCAGTCAGCTGCCTTTCAGCTAGGCAGCGATTGTCTTCACGGCAGTAGCAACTACACGCTGAATTAGGGTGGGCTGGAGGCTGTCAGTGTCTCTTTTACACATCATTAACTGGAGCACCAGAGCTCACAGTGCTCTGTAGGGACCGTGGCCTATTTCTAATCAAGGTTCTCTACCTTTATGTTTTCCAATTCCATGCGTAGTCGGTTGTTGTCTAATAGCAGATCTTTGTTTCGAGTCTCACACTGCTTCAGCTCCATTTCCAGCTCCGCTTCATAGTCTCGACTCATCTGCTGAAACTCCTGCAGCTCCTCCTGAGCCTCATCAGCCCTGAGGACAAAACAATGTTGTTGATTAACATGTGTGGAGCTTTAATGTATATATTATTACTATTGTATAAGGTAACCATTAAACTATCTCTAATGGGTAGTGTTTTCCTTGTGGTACTATGGAAGAATGTTACCTTTGCTGATGTGCCTCTGCCTGCTCCTTCCAGAAGCCCATCTCCTCTTCTAGGGATGCAAACTTGTGTGTTGGCTCCACCATGTCTGCTGCTTCGTGTCAGGGTGATGGGGATGGGAAGCGTATCTGTATAGTAACATAAAAAGGGTTCTTATCTGCCATAGGAGCACTGGCATATGTACCATTCAAACAACACAACTGTTACGGTTAGCAAATGCTAACAAGGTAGCTAGCGTTAGTCTAAAGCGTTATTTAGTTTAGCCTATTTAGGTTAGGAATGGTAAAACAACTACAATGTGTTTGAACATGTATTTCTATCAAGTACGAAATGGTAAACAATAGAAACTGAACGCGTTGACTTCTTTTTAAAGCTAACACCGGTGTTGTGTACCGGTGTATATTAGCTAAGCTTTTCGGCTAAGCTAATATAGCTAAGTTAGCTAAGCGACTTAAAGCTAACCAGAGTTCTATCCCAACACCGAGAAAAACAGAAACTCAGCAGACTCACCTGCTTATGAAGGAACGATTAAAACATGCTATAACGAAGGGAATTTATTAGGAGGTAAGACTTATTTTCCAGGATTTACGTTTTGAGACTGCACAAACTAATCTCTCATTACGTTATACGTTAAGACGGTGCTCCTCTCACCAACCAAATATAAACGAAGCTTCGGTTCTCGAAAGCCATTGGTCAATAGAGATGACGTTGTGAACATATTATCCAATCATGTTACTCTACGAACTTCAACTCAACTCCACAATACAGGCAAAGTTGTCCTACCCCCCTGTTGATGGTGCAATAACAACAAAGAAGTGCTGTCTGTCCCATGGAAGTACAAAAAAATGGAAGTACAAAAGAAAAGTTAGTTAGAAAATCGATTTCTATTATCGATGTGGTTTTTTGTTCCTAATAAAAGAGTCACTGCTCAATGAAAAAACATGAATACGCAAACAGCCTTTTATGTATCATGTTTATTAAAGGGCAGTTTTTTGCAAGTTGGTTTTTTCGACACACAGATATAATTAAAAACAACAATATTTAAGATAATCACTGCCTCTGACAGACTTTGCCTCTGACAACAGATGATATTGACATTGTATTCCCCAAATAAATATATTAATTAATCTATCCTTTAAAACACAGAGCTGCCATCAGTCAATCCGTTTAGACAAACCAGGCTCTTTCAACATGTACATACAGTACACCACCTGTTGTTAACATCACACGTATGCATACATAATCACATACTTTCTAGTCAAAACTGCTCCAGTGGTTCTTATCCTACCTAACAACTTAATGTTAATGTATTGCTTACTCTGGATGGACACACTCACCAACCACTACATATTTGTATTACTTTACCTCAACTATAAATACATTGATACCCTATGGTCAGAAACTTCTTTCATTCTAACATAAAGGGCAGGAAGTGGTGTCTTGAAACTGGAATATGAATGTACAGATATCAGTCCAAGTAACATGGCTTATATTCTACGTTATAATTGGAAGGCATTTAAGATCCTGAGAAAAGTAGCATGTAGAAAACAAATAGAAATAAATACATTTCAGGAAAAAACAAGTTGGTGATCAGAAATAGATTCTTAGCGACCTAAGAAACCTGTCCTTGGAGTATTTACATCTACTAAAAATAAGACATCCGAGAGGTAAAATATCTGTAGTCAAGTTAATACAGACTTTGTCAGGGACCATAGGCGTCCCCCGTTTTGATAAATGCAGAACCAGAAATTCAGGTAACTCTAAGTGCACACATTTTTCTCCATTTTTCAGAGCAGGGGTTATCCTGTTCAGGTCAACCATTCAGGAATAAGACAGAAAGGTCTGGAGAAAAGAAAAAGAAAAAAATTCAATGTTAAATCCACCACATAATATCCTCTTTTCACTTAAGTGACACAGCCTCTTTTAGAAGACTCAATATTGTTCCTTACCTCAGAGGAATCATTCTTCTGCCTGTTTAGTTTCTTTCTTTTTCTTTTGTTGGAACGCCTTCTTACCGTCCAACACATCAGTCTTCACCTGACCCAGAGTGCGCAGCAGGCACATGGTGTCGAAGCTCTCATCTCCGGCCTCTTGCAACAACTCAAGCACCTATAAATAAAACACCATACTTATTATTAAAGAATAAGCAAACACAGGTTATATATTTTTAGAGGGCCAGTTAAATAACAAATATATTTGTCACATACCTGAAGAACTGTTTTTGGATCTAGGTGTTTTTGGTGTGAGTTGCTGAGTGTTGTGTTTGAATATAATGGAACCTAAAGGCACTCGCAACACGCTTGTGATGTTTAAAGCATACAAAAATACATTTGAAAAACTCTCAAGAAATCATGGCCATGTTAGTCAGTTAAACCACAGACCTTGCTATGAGTGGTTTCATTAAGGAACTGTTTTCTTGCTACCAAACTACACCTTCTTGCTACCAAACTACACCTTCGCCACGCAGAAAGAAGCAGAAGGAGTGCTTACTTGTTCGCAGGTGTAGTTCGGCAGAGAGAAAGCAGTTCCTGTGTGTAACTGCTCACAACAAAGACTGCAGATGATCTTGAGTAACAGGGTCATGATTCCTGGAAGAGATATTGCTGTTGAGTTTTAATGTTTTTTTGTGGCACAACACAAGTGGAGTGCCATCAAATGTTCTTATATTGGAGAGAAGGCATGCATCTCTAAGATCGATAACTCCAACACTCACATTCAAAAAATCTAGATTAATAAATGGCAGTACAAGTAAGAGGAAAAACATGTATTCTTTATTTTGGGGGAACTGTCCCTTTAATGTTATATGTAGATCTGTGTCGACCCACCTGCAGACACTTAAATGACTTGAGTTCGCTCAGATTCTCCTCCAGGAACAACAGGTAGATGCTGAGGTCGTTGTAGAAGGGCGTCACCACGCCCAGAGCACCGAAGCCCGGCAGCAGCTCATACGGTCGGAGGAAGTTGGAGCTCTGGCGAGCCGGTCCAATAGCAGCATACACCACCAGCGGAGTGAGAAGTACATACACCCCAAAGTTGATGTAGCTGAGCAGCCTGAAGACCCCCACTGCTACGAGCTTACACTGCACCGCAGCCGGCACCATGCTGTTGTTCTTCAGCACCCCTGTACGCAGGTCGCAGGGGAACTCGTCGGTCAGAGAGGCCAGGCGGATGTAGTAGCCGAGAAAGATGCAGGCCAGCAGGAGGGTGAGCAGAGTCAGGCCCCGACATGAGAGGTACTTCACCACCAGAGAGCGAGATAAGCGCTTGGTCTTCAGATACTGCTCCACTAAAGGGTATGTGAAGCAACCCTCGGTCAGCTCCAAAGCACTGCAGCAGAAAAAAAGGAGTTTAGCATGAAAAGGATATGTGTTAAGAAAGGCAAATGTCATAGTATTCATATGAAAAACATCAAGAAATATGGTTCCCTACAACAACAGGATTGTATTTTATTTTGTCATTACCCATAACCACACATCCTTAGACGCTTATTCAATGTTGTTTTCGTATAAACTCATTCCGATATTAACTTTTTTAATGGACACAACATAATGCGTTTCATTAAATGGTTTGAAGACTCTCATTCACTGGCCTTAGTGATTTAACAATAATCAAAATCACACGTGTCACAGTGTCAATATTTATTGGTATTATAGAAAATTGATTTCAATTTGATAACATTTTGTAGAGAAATGGGGCTTCCTGGTGAAAACTGGTACAGTTCAATTGTCATATACGTCTGATTTTCTATGTATATGAAGTACATTAAAGTGGCACTAATTAATATTTTTTAAATAAACAACTCTGAGCTTGCCGTCAGCTCTACAAGGTATTTAAGATTTTTTTTGGCAATCTGTACTGGTGAACATAGTAACTCTAAACTGTGCTTCATACTGTATCTGCTGGAAGTAGAATAAGGCAACTTATTGCAAACCACTTCATAACAAATTCATTCTCACAGGAAATTCAAGCTAATGTAACTAAGTACATAATAGAGCCTAATAACGCAGTGTTTACCTCTGTGTGTCCTCAGACGAACCTTTGCTATCAAAGGACGCTAGATTCTTGGCAAGTCTGATGGAGCGGTTATAAAAGCGGTCCAGCTCCTCCATGATGAAGTTCAGGTCGGAGGAGAGGTGCGGGGCGGCTGTGAAGCGCCAAAACAGGGCCGGGATGTACAGGAGGATGGCCAGGGAGAGCAGGGTGTATGGGAAGAACTGTGGGGGATCAAAGGGAGACAACAGGAGAGATACATATTTAAAAAAAAGATGATTTCTGGACATTGTTTGATAACTTTTAAGATTAGAAAGCATGCATTGATCTTTTTTGAAATTGTATTAGAAATCAGATTCAAACCTGTTTTATTGGTCAAAGGGCTAATCAAATTAAAAATATAAAGTGAATGAAACTTATTGTGCACTTATGTTATGTTTTCAGTTTACCTGAGTTACAATGTGTTATACAAGTTCATTAAATTATATGAACTTAATATGTGTGCTTCTTACCAACCTAATACAAATGTATAGAACCTGTTGATAAAATAAATGTAATTAAAGTCAACATTTCAAAGTATTTAGTAAACGATTGGTCAATGAACTACTGTTCTACTGTTTTTTTTCCAACTGAAAAAGTCACTTCAAACTGTTTTGGATGACTTATGTACTTGTATTTAAAGGGGCCCTATTAGGCTTTTGGGGGGGTTTCCCCTTTCTTGTAATGTGTTATATAAGTTTTGGTAGATGGTCTGTAAAGGCTAAAATCCCAGAACTCACGCCAATTTGTTAGGGCTCCAACACATTGTACGTGATAGGCTAAGGGATAGGACATCTCTGAGCAGTTGACCAATAACAACAGAGCCAGTCAGCTAACCAATCAGAGCAGACTGGGCTCTGGTTTCAGACAGGTTGAAAACAGGCAGTATGAGAAAAATAAAGAGCTTTATGAACATTAAAGCATGGAAACATGCCACGGTAGAGCAAAAAAATACAATTACGAAACTAGAACTTTTGCATAATAGGGCCCCTTTAATTTAAGATATTTTTGGACATATTCTTGCCCATCCCTTTATTAAATAATACTGGTAGAGACTTAACAGTATTACGAATTTAAAACATCCCACTACCTACACAATTACACTTTTAGCATTGATGATTGTCAGTGATGGTGCATGCTGGGGGAAAACGTATGTACCTTGTGCAGCCATAGCTGTGAGTCGTCCCCTTGTTGCTGTACTGCTGCCCAACAAAACGAGTCCACATATGCAGCCTGCCTCCAAGAGAAGTTAGTGGGAGCAAAGCAGCTGATCTGGGTACCTGGGGAAATAAACAGAATAATTAGTCAGAGACAAAAACAAATAACAACAATTGTCAGCCCTCCCTCCTCTGAGCTCATGGCCTAATTTGTTGGTGGGTTGTTGTCAGCATACTTTGTGTCAATAACTATACCATCCTCTATATGGGGAGTGGGGAGTTCATTACATCACATACGACCCAGATAGTCACCAGACAGTAACGTTTTGGCAGCACAGGGGCTGTCCCATTAAAATGAAAGAATGATGATTTTAAACAAATACAGCACATTCCCACTACAGAATCCTCATGATCCACTCTGATTGTGACACATAGACATATAACTAAATGCTAGTTATAGCAATTATAGTATGAGTCATAGTCGTACCTGTTGCATAAAGTAAAGCACTGGGATTTCACATAATTGTAGGAAAGATCATTATGTCAATTGATGCCTAACTTGTACACGTTTTGAATGCAAACATAAAATGATTATTTATAACTAGTGAATTACCGTAGTACATTTACTCAAATACTGTATTCAACCAACATTTTGAGGTACTTTACTTGAGTCCATTTTATGCAACTTTACACTTTTCTGCACGTACATTTCGTAACAAATGTTTTGATTTTAACTCCACCATGTTTATTATTTTAACAGGAGTAACTTTTCAAATTCAGCTTTTAATACAAAATATGATCAACTAATATATATTATAAATAAATGAGCTCCACCTTTACATGCTGTAACATTATATATATATATATATATATATATATATAAACATGAATACATTAATAATAATAATTATCCATTTATATGATTCTGAAATGGGCCATTCTGTAAATGTAGTACTTTTACATTTTGTATTTTAAGTATGTTTTGATACTGATATAATAGTACTGGAATGGAAGACATTTTCTAGTGATATAGCATTTCTTCACATGGTGTTGCTATTTCTGAAACTGTTTTAAAAATAGTATCCATCCCAAATATATCAATGAAGGAAGAAGGATGAAGATAATTAGCGGGGGATAATATATAAGTAACAACTTATGACTGAATTCATAAAAAAAGCCTTTTATATATCAGAAACCTGAATCCTGTCACTGTCACACTGACATGTAATACTGGGATACTTGAATATAACAGAGCCATTGTTCTTATTTTACAGTAAGTGATACCTCTACTATGATGACAGGTCCAAATGTCTGCTGCAAAAAGAGCCTTCATCTAATTGATCTAATATGTTGTAAAGTCAATACATCTCCTCCTTTGTGATTGCTATAGATCAAGGCTTCTCAAACTCCGGATCCGGACCGAACTGCAAATCAATCCGGACCAAACCCTGTGTCCCATTATAAAAAATAAATAAATAAATAAATAAATCTGATTCTGATGTAAATTAAAGAGGACCTTTTATGCTATATTGGAAAAATATATTGTAGGGCCATACCTATACAAAACATGTCTGTGAAGTTTTTTGCTTAAAATACCAAACAGATCACCCATTGTAGCCATGCCTCATACTGCTCATACCCCTCTTTTGCAGCCCTGTTAGAGAAATGCGGATTTTGGGTCCTTAGCTTGAAAAAAAAAAAAGAGGAGGCGGAGCTAATGCCTGATCAGAATTCTACCGGAGATAAAGTTAAATTCTGCTGTGATAAAACACCACCCTGTTCTAAACCACATCAAGGATTATTTCTGAAACAGTATGGAGCTCAAATGCTTTTTCTCTTACGGGTTTATCACAAGGTGAGTTCCTTTTTTTTATTTCCTGCTTTTAAAACACATGTGCAGGTTAGCTCTGAGTGTTAGCGAGGCTTGCTAATGTAAACAAAGACGAGATTACGTCCAAAACACGTCAGGCATTGTTTCTGATAGCAATTTTCTGTGGGTCCGCCGCCGATTTGACGTGAGATCGGCAGCAAATCTGTATCCGCTCGTTTTTAAAAGATTTGGGTACGGAGGAAAAGAGAGTTTTTTTACTTTACTGGCATTGATCCGGACCATTGACCTTGTATAAAATTCACAAGTGGACCTTTAACAAAAAAGTTTGAATACCCCTGCTATAGATTAATTAAGTCAAATCTATTTGGGCTTTCTGCCATAATGCACATTCACTTAGTATGATATGATAACAATATATGTCCATAATCATCAGAGGTGGGACAAGTGCTCTTGTACTTGAGTAAAAGTAGAAGTATTAGAGTGTAGGAATACTCTGTTACAAGTAAAAGTCCTGCATTCAAAATGTTACTCAAGTAAAAGTACAAAAGTATTAGCCTGAAAATATACTTAAAGTACCAAAAGTAAAAGTACTTATTTTTCAGATTGGTCCATTTCAGAATATTATATATGCTTTGATTATAATTATTGATCATTAAAGTGTTATCAAAGCTGGTAAAGATGCAGCTTGTTTGAATGACTTTGTATACTGCAAATCTTGTAAATGTACTCCAGGTGTAACTAAAGTCTGATTTAAGTGTTGATTATATTTCACATTATAAATCCAAATATGCAAAGTAACTAAAGGTAATACATAAATATAGTGGAGTAAAAGTAGCCTACACGATTAGCCTCTGAATTGTAGTGGAGTGGAAGTACAAAGTAGCAAAAAATGGAAATGCTCAAGTACCTCAAAATGAGTAAACGTACTTAGTTACTTTACACCTCTGATAATAATTGTGTCTTTCAGTCAAAGCTCCATAATACACATTGTCTGGAGACATGCAGTGTATTGGATGCTGGCAGTAGGCTATACTTGCAGATAATGGTAACAACAACAGGCTGCAGGCATTATAACCTAACAAGATTACATGGGTTTGTTAAACTGCTAATGGAGCTGTAGATATATATTTTTTACACTAACCGCCAATTTGTTTTGGGGAGATATTCTACTGTTCTTTTCAGTAATACAAATCATTATCAATAATGCACCAGTTAGTATGCCTACAGTTTCCATCATTGTTTTTGTGCAGTAGCTGCAGCAGCCTGCAACACTGTCTGTGCGTGAGATGAGCAGAAGGGTGGGGACTTTAACCACACCTTCTCCGGTATTCCTTCTTCACGCCTTTCTTTTTCTGGCCTTTTACTGAATATACCACTCTAAATGCATCCACCTTACATGTGCCTGTAACTGTGGTTCAAAGAAACACATGCTACAGCAGTGTTAGTGTGGCAGGTGGAGAAAGACAAATAAGCTCCACCAGGATCCCCACCGGCTGGAAAGATTTCGAATTTTCTACATGGTGAACATTTAAGGGGTAAATAACCTGAGTTTGCTCCTGACAGGATGCTCACACACATTCAACAACTCACCCACTGACACCTCCTGAGCAAAAGCGAGGGAGATGAGAAACAAAGGCAGCCCCACCGCGAGAAACGTGACTATTTTGTCCACCGCCAGCTCCAGACGCACCCCTTTGTACTTGGCCTCCGTGGGGTCCTTTAGCAGAAAGTCGGAAAAAACGTACTCGGTGGCTACGTGGGCTATCGCCATGACGGACGGGAACAAAAAAGACCTGGTGTGGTCTAATTGACGGAAGGTTCAAGTCTCTTCTTAATGAGCGAACTTCGGCTGAGGTTTGACTTAATTTAAACCCCCGTCAGTGTAGAAATGTGAGTGATATATAAAACACTGAGGCGCTAGTGTTTACCCATCTCCATTCACTCCTGGGACGGATGGTTGAACCTGCTGTCCCGTTTCTGTGACCCAGACATCAAACGGGGACGAGCCGCCTGCAGGCCGCTAGAGGGCGCTACTGTGACGTAACGTGCACCTGCATGGCAACAGCCTGATAGTTCACTGTAATAATAGAACATGGACATTAGATTGTCTTAAGTGTTTACTTCTAAGTATCAATATTGGATAATAATAGTAGATACATCCTATCGCATGTGTTTGTTTGAAAACATTTGTAAAGCCAAGTTGTAAAAAGCAACAATTTAATTAATCAGTCACCAAAAATGAAACCGCTCCTCTATTATTTTCTACAATTTAATTTTTTAAACCCGTAAAATTGTAATGATCTTTTTTTCTGAAGACATATAGAGTGCTAAATAAAATAAAAACAACAACATATAATTGTAGATTTATTTTTGACACAATGCAGGAACTTCTACCCCACTTGTTTAGCCCTACATTTGTATTCAATGTTCTAAATGTGAGTTTACCTAAAAATGATCCTTTCTAGTTTTAAAGTCATTAATTTTTGTAGAAAACCCAAAACAGAAAGAAACAAGCAAACTATATTTTGTTTATTATGTTGCAACCAGGTGTAAAAAGTAACATTTCCATTATTGTACATTTCAGCCAATTAACGTACCAGTGTCGGTGAATTGTCACATTTATCGATCACCAGCATGATCACCAGTAATCACAACATTTTCGACAGCTGTGCATGCTTTCCGGCAGAAGAAGGTTACAAAAAGGTGCGCGTTTGTTGGGACTCAGACTCAGATGTGGAAACAGTGCTGAGGGGGAGATGCGAAGACGAGCTCTTCTCAGGTATCTAACAGAGTTACAAACTTTTTTTCAACATTTCTCGACATTAACAAATAATATAATTTCCCGTCCAAACAATGAAGGGTAACACGCGGCGGTGGGCAGCTTTGTGTCTGTTAAACAAGCTATGCTGATGCTTGTTATTGTGTTGGCTTCAATCTGACGCTAGCTCCGGGCAAACATTTGTAGCTCAGTGAATTAGCTCGTTTCAGTTAGCTGGCAGTCTAGCTACTCAGTTAACTAACAGTTATCTGCTTCCGCCATACACAACGGTTCCTACACACGGGGAAGCTACATTAATGTGAGCTAGCTTGTAGCTAATTTAACGTTATTTGGTTTACTTGTTTTGCGTTTGTGGACACGCAACTCTTGTGTTTGTTAGCTTTATATAAACAATCCTTATCTGCGAGGCGAACACATTGTTAAAGTAAACCCTGGTTACCCATAGGCGTTAACACAGAAGTTTTAGTGTCTTAATTGTATCAGATTAAATACCTACGCCCTGGGTCATTAAGACATGATTTGCCTGACTCAGCAAGTGTGCACTTTTAACTTTCGTTTCCTCTACACAGGAAAGCATGAGAGCGAAGAGAGGTGAAAGTATGGTGAAAGACCTCTCTGGGTTGTATGATGGAAGGACTGAGAAAGGAAATATCAATATGCAGCTCTAGGCCCTTCCCATGGCTTGGTCCCCCCAAAACAGAGTCCTCAACCCCGCTATGGAAACTCAAAGACTGCTTCCCATCCAGTGAGACAACCCCTGCTCAGCAAACAGATAAAGAAGTAGGTATTTATCTTTGTACACAGTCCAGGTATCTGTACACACAAGTGGTATGTGTACACAGGCAAGATGGATCATTTTGCAGGCAATCTCTCAATTTAAAAGGACAATACTCTAGTCCAGTCATTAGAAATCCAGTTCTGGCCTACAATGCTATGAATATGGAATTTTCAAACTCATATTTACCCGGTGTATAGATTAACTTTACATCAATTTTGACATATTTAACTCTTGAACTGCCGTGTCATCATGGCTAAATCCAAATAGAAACCGTTTAAAACATTTTTATTTTACCATGACATTTCCAACTTGCTGATGTTTGTTTATTGACTGATAGACATCCACCACCTACACTCAAAGGGAAAATATCCCCCATTTGACCTTTAATGTCTTATAATCTTCTCCTTTTTTGTGTTTTCAGAACAATTACATGGACAGCAGAAAGGCTGTGCTGGAACTGAAAGATGTCCCTCCTCCTCCTCCGCACCATTCTTCCTCCTCCCAATCATCCCAGCCCTTCCCTATGGCCCCCTTCCCCATGCCTCCTCCCTGCTTGCTGCCTCCTCAGCTTACACACAACTCCCTCCAGCCACAACCGCCACCACAACAACAAGAGGGGGCTAGCCCCAAAGTAAGCATTTACACGCACTGTGACTACTGTAGCACAGACAGCTATGGGTTATTGGGCGGTGGAAGTGTTGTTGGTAGCAGGAGCAGCATGGCTGGTGTTGTCTCGCTCTATATGGCCCCAGGCTCTCTGGGAGCACCCAGCAGCAGCTCTGGCCCTGTCTGTTCTGTTTCCTCATCTGTTCATCAGTATAAACATCACATGAGCTGCAGAGCTGATGCTCTTGACCCTTTGCACACTCTTGGTTACAAACCTCAGATGTCTTCTTCTGTCGCTACCTCTCAGCCGGTTTCATCACACCCCTACCTTTCCTGCTGTTCAGGGCCTCCCCACAACTGCCCCGCTGTTCCTGTTCCATACAGCCAGCCAAACCTGTTCCCCTCCCCAGCACCTCTGGCTTCCTCTCTCCCCTGTGTTTCCTCTCTACCTGCTCCCTTGCATGCCTCTTGCCTGGCCTCTTCTGGCTACTACACCTGCGGGGTGGGCTGCTGCCCGTCAGCCAGAAGACCCCAGAGAAACACACTGGGTGATCACCCAACCACCACCACCATCACCACTACAACCACCTCTGCACACTTCTGCTCTAACCCTATGCACCTCAATGTAGAACGCACGGTTTGTGTGAAGGGGGCGCACTACTGCCGGGATTGCCTGTTTAAGGTTGGTTGAGTTCACTTCCATCACTGTGGCCTGTATTTGTGTGAGTTGGAGATCACTTTAGGTGACTTGATTCTATATATAATGTTAATGTCAGTTGTATTAGAATGGTTTTTGGTGTTAAATGCATGTATTATAGTATCGCTTGCTGTTGGATTGTATTCCTCTTTTCTGAAGGTTTTATTGATTTGTACCTATTTTACAGCCTATGAATGGTCTGGCGTCAGAGTCAGACGCAGTCTGGCCCAATGTTCCTCTTCCACAGACTGCTCCTATCCCCATCCCTATTTGTAATGGCTGTGGCACCTCCTCTGATGGCATGATGATCATGCCGTCAACCAGCCTTGGCAAGAGTGGCCTGAAGTATGGTTAGTGGAGTCTACTATTTAAAAATTCTCTCACTTTTTACTAGACTTACATTTTTGATTGAGGGTCTTGATTAGACTCTTTGAAATAGCAAGCTCTTTTGAGTGAAGTGGATATAAAATGTTACTATCCAAATCTGACTATAAAATAACCTTAATCGGAGCTATTATGCTTTAAAGTGTTTTAGTGTCTTTAATAACATTGTGTAACTGTCTGCTAGGTTCTCCAGAGAATGGGGGCCCTGAGAACATCCCTCCGGTGGGGGTCTTCTGGGACATTGAGAACTGCAGCGTGCCCAGTGGACGCTCTGCTGCAGCCGTGGTGCAGCGAATCCGCGGCCAGTTCTTCCAAGGCCACCGTGAGGCCGAATTCATTTGCGTCTGTGACATCAGCAAGGAGAATAAAGCCGTCATCCAAGAGCTCAACAACTGCCAGGTACCAACAAATGTCATGTCAATTATTTCCATGGTTGCACTATAAGAACAATTTGCACCCTGAACAAATATCGTTGAGCTACAGTTTTATGATGGGCAGAGATCAAATGTTGGGATTAGACAGGAGTCAATTTACCAGGGAATTTTCTTAACTTTGGATATATTTGACAATAAATATTCTAATTACATTTTGTTTTGCACAAAATTGGGGACTGCCAGTGTTTCCATTAGCCGGTATTTTTCACATAGATTAGTTACACAACAGAGTGCACTACAGTGGCTGATGCGCCCTGGTTACTGGACATATACTGACTTTCCTGTTGTGAGTTTATTTACTGCTGTTGCATATCCTTTAAAAACGAGCCATAACTGTGCATGTCAGAGGTGCGCTTTGTCACAAAGGGCCCTCCATCCCTGACAGCGCTCCAGTGTTGTAGGCTTGAATTTCTCGTAAAATAAACGATATACATATGCCTTGATGTCATAATTTTTAAATCAATCGATTGTTCTCAAGCTGAATAATTTCCAAAGATAATTTTCCATTTTGTCTGGAAAATTGAAACTCTGGGTGCAGAATATATTTTCTTTTATAGAAAAAAAATGCAACCGTTTTGATGTTGTACAGATTGAAATGAAAGCCTGACAAGTAATGCCCCAAAAGAAGGAACAAGAAAATTCAGCAACTGCGAAACGTCTCAAACTAATATAATTCTGCCCCATCAGGTTACTGTTGCACACATCAACGCCACAGCCAAAAATGCCGCGGACGACAAGCTTCGGCAGAGCCTGCGACGCTTCGCTGAGACGCACACCGCCCCCGCTACTGTCGTACTCGTATCCTGTGAGTTCACCCTGGGATTACTATAACAAACTACAGACACATACCACATTTTTTGTGGTAACACGTGTAATCTTTTCTTTTTTTATAGCGGATGTAAACTTTGCAAGCGAGCTGAGTGACCTGCGCCATCGCCACGGTTTCCAGGTTGTCCTGGTCCACGGCAACCATGCATCTCCAGCGCTGCTGCAGCATGCCAACCGCCACGTGGCCTTCCAGGAGATCACGGCAGATCTGCCTCCACGTATGCTTGTCAAAGCACAGGTAGGCCTCACAAAATGATTCATTAGGACTTTTTAGATCTACTGTGTGAAATAAGGTAAGTTGGTGCTGGCAAAAGTAACCAAGGGAAATGTAGTGTGGGCTTTCCAAGAGGGCAGAGAGGCAGTTTTAATGTGAATAAAAACATCTTCACAAATATTTAACTTTTTCTTTCAAGGGTCATTATAAAAACAAATCTGAGAAATTATACAAACCAGACAGGCGCGCTGTCTCTTCCTCCCCTCCCTCAGCCCAGTTTCAACCTCCTCTATGTGCACAACCTCCCTGAGAACTGTGATAAGAGCCTGCGGAACGCCGTGAAGCTCAGGCTGCGCCGCCTCTCAGACAACTGTGGCGGCAAGGTGCTGGGCGTGTCCCAGGGCACAGCTGTCCTCCGTTTCGGCAGCAATGAGGCAGCGGCGCGTGCCCGCAAGCGAATGGAGAATGAGGATGTGTTTGGCCGCAGTATCAGCCTCTCCTTCTCCCCGCGGCCCAGAAACGATGCAAGTCCCGAGCCTGAGCTTCAGTCTCAGCCCCATCAATTGCCACAGCCTATGACTCTTCCCCACACCAATCACAGCCAGGATTCAATGTTTGCCCCGCCCCCATCCATATCCTCCTTCTCCTTCCTACCCCTGGAGAAGCCAAGGTCACCCAGGAGGCCACGGCGAGCGACCCGCCCGGGCAACGCCCCTGGCCCAGAGCCTGAAAGGCCCTACAGCCCCAGGAGGGGGTGTAGTGGGCCCCCCGGTGGTGCTCCAGCCAAGCCCCATCAGGTCAGCAGACTCGTCAGTGCCTGCTTCCTGTTAACCTGCGTTGCCGTCTATCCTTGTCTGGGCTGCTATGTAACCCCCCCCCCGCCAGTGTCCCTGTGAATGCTGCTTTGACTAACTGCTCATAAATGCTCACTAAGCTTCATTTGTCTGCCTGTGCTAGCATCTTAGCCGCCGCCGCTAGTGCTTCATGTGTACGCCTTGTCCTGCATGTTCGTTGGTCATATGAATGCATGAATTAGCCTTTAGCTTGTGCGCCTCTTTCTGACTGTGCAGTCTATTAGTGCTGGTGTCCTGCTTCATGTAGCTGAACAACTGAGGTTTGTAAGTAGCCACTCTGTGTTTTGTCTGCTCCATGCCTCTTTCATTTGCATGGGCCCGTCCAGTTTTCTGCTTAAAGTGACCTCAAATGACTGTAAAGAATGGCTAAGCTTATGTGTTTTTTAGCTCCAAACTAACTGTTAAAAGCGATCCGTTTATGGATAACATCTATAGATGGACTAAACTACTAACTAGGGATGAGTATCTGAAGTTATTTCTGTAGTTTGATGGTCTCATTCAGCACCAGAATTTAACGAAAACTGAAATGTGTGATGTCTAAATCACCGGAATGCCTGAGACTAGAATTGTTTCTATGGGTCTTGTTAATGTTACTTACAGTTGTAAAGCTATCTCAATAGAACTAAGCTACACAAAATAAATGTAGTGGCGACCACTGCTGTTTTCTAGGCAGCAAGTGGACTAAGTGCACATCCCTAGTTAAACCTCAACATCAGTTTTGCCATTCCATGACTCCTTCCCTTAAGCTTTCCATATCTCATGCATGCACACAAACACATCAACAGTATCCTGCCTGTTAACCTGTTCAGTATTTACATCTGCGACCTCTTGTCTGATCCAGGAGCTAGGGATTGTGAAGGGTTTCCACACCCTGGAGAAAGGACAAGCTGCTTCCTCCTCCCCCCACAGCAACGAAGAGACCTCCCTGCAGATGCTGCCAAATCCTGGCCTCATTGGAGAATCCATGTACAGGAGAAGGTACGGGAAAGGGGATATTAGACTGAGAAGGATGCGTTTTATAACTAGATGAAAACTGTTTCTGTACATTTGCTACAGGAAGCAGTTTGTCTTCTGTTGTTTATTTTCCAGCCAATCAACAAGTTCCTGTAGATCTTTTAGCATTGAATTCTTAAAAGAAAAACCTTATTTGGAAGGATTTGTCTTTAAAACCTACTTACAATTGTATTAAATATACTATGACGTGGATGTAGGATTTTATGAAATATTTCTTTCTGATGTTGCATTGTAAAATCAGTTTTTTTTAAAATAATATAGGAACAATCCCACTAAAATGTATGATTTGCAATCGCATAAAAAAACACTCTTAAATCTCAATCAGTCTTTGTCTGTATGCACCCCGATCAAGCATCAACTTATTTTTGTTGGATAGAAATATATCCTTTTTTAAAACAAATCTTTTTAGTGCAGCCAAATAAATTAAAGTAGTTGGAAGCCGAGCAGAGTGAAGAATGTTGTTTTTACACATGTGCCTCTTTTTTTGTCTTTCCCTTTCCTTCGCAGTGGGGCTGAGTCCCCTATAGACCAAGGGGACAGGAGCTCAGGGGACTTCCAGATCAGCACACCCTCAGCCTTCAGCAAGTTGAACCTGCATAGGAGCTTCAGCCCCCTCATCCTGTCCCAGGGCTCCTGGTCGTCAAGGTGACTTATTGGTTTTTAAAAGTTAACCAAGGTGGCAAACCGCTTATGCCTCATGCTACTTTTCCTCAATTCAGTGGTGGTTATTATCTCAAAGTGGTGTCCCCCTTCTCTAACTAAAGGAGTGCGTCGCCCTGCCTGTCCAGCCGCTCCTCCCCCCTCCTCACTGCCCCTCGCAGCCCGTGCCCTGAAGGGGCTCCTGAGCCGTTCTCAGACGGGGCAGACGTGCAGGTGGCCAACCTGGACTACAGAATGTCCCGCAAAGAACTGCAGCAGACACTGCATGACACTTTCACCCGTTACGGGCGGGTAAGACCTCCTTCAGTGATGTCATTGGTGTCGATAAGATATGCTTGTATCCTCAGTCAAAAATAACAAAAAGCTCTTCGGCTGGGTTTCTAAGCTTGAAGATTCTCCCCCTTCTCATAACATCTCCTTGTGGTGTGACTTGTTTTGTCTAGGTGAAAGCTGTGGAGCTCAGCCCGCACACAGACTATCAGCTGAAGGCCACAGTCCAGATGTTGTCCCTGCAGCTGGCCATCAGTGCCATCAGCGGCCTGCACCGCTATAAGATCGGAGGCAAGCGCATTCAGGTGTCTCTGGTCACCGGGGGCGGCAACAAATCCCTCGCTATGCTCAGGTACTGTCAAGCGTATTTAAGTTAGGGCGTCTTTCAGATTTAGGACACCAATGCACATTTTACAAGGTGTTCTGGTTCGGTTGCAGTGTTGAATGTAAACCCTTTTTCCCCCATACAGCACAGAGATCATCCACATTCTTCAGGATGCACCTGCCAATTGCCTTCCCCTCTTCAAGTTTACAGAGATCTATGAGAAAAAGTAAGAAGCTTTACCTCTTAAACATGATTTTACTCCTACATATTTTGCAATTGGATTACAACAATTCCAAAATAATTCCTAAGTAGTTAATCCTTTCTTTTACTCCTTCTCCAGATATTCCCGTAAGCTTGTGGTGGGGGACCTGTACAGGCTGCCTGAGGTGGTGGCAGTGCGGGAGCAGGGAGGCTCCAGGCTCGTGTGCCTGCTGCCCAGCAGCCAGATCCGTCAGAGTCCTTTGGGGTCCTCCCTGTCCCAGGAGGCCTCCTCCTCAGCCAGCGGCAGCCCCGTGGTGTTCGAGGAGCTCGAGTACCATGAACCCGTCTGCAGAGACCACTACACACAGAGGGACTTCAGGTTGGTAGAGACATTTGTATTTCAGATTTAATCAGTATCTGATTAGATGTGTATTTCTTGAAATGCCCACTGTGACTGCCCTATAGGGTTTGAATCAGCAACCTTATGTCTCTAATCACGATTCTCTAAACTGTACCACACTGATTTTTTTCTTTTTCCAGTGAAGCTGACTTTGACCCTGACTCCTATAAAATACCCTTCGTTGTGATGTCTCTAAACACCTTGGCCTCCGAGGTCCACAGTCTGCTGCAGTCACATGAGGGAACTCTTCCATTACTCAGGTGACTACCATTTTTCTAAATCCAATGTCATAATCAAACTGAGCATTTCTTTTAACAAAATGGCCATAACGTGGTATATTTACCTTACAGTTTTCCAGACTGCTATGCATCAACGTTCAGCCCTCTGCAGCTGGGCACTGAGAGTCTGCAGGACGGTGTTCCTCTAGAGCACCTCATTACATGTGTTCCCAGTATTACTATCGTCACAGCTCAGAACGGCTTCAAAGTTATCAAGTGGATCCACAACAAACCGCCAGCACCAAACTCCGGTAGGAACATTGAAACATTTGCTTTGTTAGAGCTTGTTTAAGCTTCCTTCAATGCTGTACCTACAAACTGCTTTCTTTAGCAGCCAGATATTTCCATTTCAGAGATCTATGTTTGTGTGGGTTTTTAATGCAGAGCCATGGATTCAGCGCTGCAAGAGTCCAGTTGGAAACCCACAGCTCATCCAATTCAGCCGAGAGATTATCGACCTGTTAAAGAGTCAGCCTTCCTGCTTCATGCCCATGAGCAAGTTCATACCCTCCTACCACCATCACTTTGCCAAGCAGTGCCGTGTCTCCGACTACGGCTACTCCAAACTGCTGGAGCTCCTGGAGGCCGTGCCACACGTCCTGCAGGTACTGATGAAAGCTCTGGTCTTTCTTAATCCAAATATCTGAAGACTTTTACAATATCTGTCAAATAGTGAGGGTGAAAAGTAGGGGTGCACCGTATGGGAAATTCTTGGCCGAAACCGATACCGAAAATAGGAAACAGTTGGCCGAAAACCGAATGCCGAAAGGCCGAAAATGATTAATAGAAATATATATATATATATATATATATATATATATATATATATATACATTTGTTACCAATGTTGTTCAGCTACCTGATTATGGAAATAGACATGATTATGGCAAAACTTAACTTAAATAATAATCACTATTATGGGTCCATAAAACATTTATTCAGCACTTTTGAATGCATACAGTACATTTATATATGTCATGTATTATTGCTAAAAAACATTATATCGCAGTCTTAGTGTCGCCAACTCGTTTCTAATATGCAAAGACAACAAATGCGTCTATGATGTATTTCGATCAGACGAGATCTCTCTCCCCCCGTCTGTGTGCGAGGGGGCGGGGCAGTTTACACACACGCAGCTGCTACATGCAGCGGAGCACACTGCGGAGATGGCGGAGAGAACGCGCTCCGAGGTGTGGTTAAAACTTTACCCGTCTCGATGTGGAGAATACTTGTTACCATAAGTGCAATAAGAGTTTAGCATGTAAGCACGAGCAATTTGTCTAAACATTTAGCAAAAGTGCACCGCATGCAGACGGAGGAATGTACCGGGTTCGACCGTCTTTCTAGCAGCTCTGTAGCCCCATCCACGAGTAACGTTTCCACGTCAGGTGTTCTGTATGTTAGCAGCAACACACGGAGTTAACTACATGATACAAACATGGGTTAATGATTAGAGGAAACTGAGTTATTTAGTTTGTTAAAATTTCAGCTATTCTGTTTACAGTCTGTCATCAGATTATTTAATACGATTTGTTAAAGGCTCAGGGCAATCTCGATGACAAAGGTCAATGTCCCCCCCCTGTGAGCCAGCCGCGAGCATGGTCGCCGCGTCTTTATTACGTCATCACAACAACACGTTAGGTTACCAACGTAAGCCTGTTCTGACATTCGGTGATATTTTTTCGGTGCTAAAACCCTTTCGGCCGAAAGGGCCTTTTTAACCATTTTCGGCCGATAATTTTCGGTGGCCGAATATTCGGTGCATCCCTAGTGAAAAGTAATGTTTGTTACCATGCTGTATTGAATCTATGAGCATGTGTCTACTGCTTAAAATCTATATTTTAGGAAAAAAACAGCAGTACCATTTACTGAAAGACAAATATAACACGATAAGAAAATGTCTGTATCTCAGAAACTACATTCAGCAAATTCAAGTATTAGTTTAGCTCTTTTAAAGTTCAATTTCAAAGATATGCATTAGGGATGTGCATCTCCATCACTGAGGCCGATGCCATGCGCATCTCGATACGTTGCCAACGATACGATACATTAACGATACATTTGAAACGCCAGGCGATACGATACGATTCACCCCTGCAAAATAATGATACTTCAATATGGTACGACAGAGGATTTTTGTTTTATTCCTCATATGCAGCAAATCATAAATTAAACAAGTGCTTTACATATTTGGTTCTCTCTACTACAGGGGTGCCCACACTTTTTTGGCTGGTGAGCTACTTTTGAAATGACCAGCTCACCGAGGTCTACCAACCAAAAATAAAATCCCAAATTGCAAGGGTTGCTGAATAACACGTTTTATTTATACATGGGATAACTACAATAGGGCTGCAACAAACGACTCATTTGATAATCGATTAATCTATTGATTAATGAAAAGATTAATCGACTATTCAGACTATTACTGTATGCCTTGCACAATTTCTCAAACGCTCTTATTTAGCCATCAACTTTTAGATTTAGCTTGAGGTTGTTTTAGGCATGTGGAAACTAACAATGAAGACAATAAAGATGAATACTTGATTCAAAAATACATATATTATTAAATTAAATTAACAAATTGTGAACAAAACTAACATTGCTTTTTATTTAAATGAAATACATAATATTTCACATCAAAAGAAACAACAATGTTTTAACAAATCGTATTAAATAATGTGATGACAGAACTGTAAACAGAATAGCTGAAACTTTAACAAACTAAATAACTGAGTTTCCTCTAATCATTAACCCATGTTTGTATCATGTAGTTAACTCCGTGTGTTGCTGCTAGCATACATAACACCTGACGTGGAAACGTTACTCGTGGATGGGGCTACAGAGCTGCTAGAAAGACAGTCGAACCCGGTGCATTCCTCCGTCTGGATGTGGAGCACTTTTGCTAAATGTTTAGACAAATTGCTCGTGTTACCGCCCTTACGCTAAACTCTTATTGCACTTCGAGACAGGTAAAGTTGAACCACACTTCGGAGCGCGTTCTCTCCGCCATCTCCTCCGTGTGTGTGTGTTGCTGCATGTAGCAGCTGCGTGTGTGTAAACTGCCCCGCCACTCGCACACAGACGGGAGAGATCTCCCGTCTGGATTGGAAAGATCAAAAATACTAAAAAAGAATCATAGGCGCATTTTGCAGTCTTTTTGCATGTTCGAAACAGAGTTGGCGACGCTAAAACTGCAAAATAATGTTTATGTAGCAATAATACATATACATACCACGGTCTTTAATAATTCAGCCCCCGAGCCCTTTTAATACCGGGGCTCGGTACCCATCCCTACTCGCAGCATCTTGAACGTTTATTCCGGTGCACCGATGCGAATCGGTGAATCTTAACATCCCTAATATGCACACATGCATTTAAAAAATAAATCACTAAAAGGTTTTCTTTCAAATGTTTTCTAATTCGGGGAAAAAACGTGTTTGCACTTTTTTGGTACTTAAAATATTCCTCAGACACAAATGGGTGAATAGCGATGTTGTACTTTAGTTTTTTTGTATTCTACATGGTGTTTTTGATCTCCTTCACCTACAGATTTTGGGAATGGGCACCAAGCGTTTACTGACTCTGACTCATCGGGCTCAAGTGAAGCGCTTCACCCAGGACCTGCTCAAACTGCTTAAATTTCAAGCCAGCAAACAAGTGGCAATCAAGGACTTCATGCAAGCATACCATTGGTCAGTCCACAGGTCATGTGTTTTACATTGCCTTTGCATAGTGTTGAATATCATCTAAATTGTATTTGGATAGATTCTAGCAGTTTGCTTGTGATTTCTCCCTTAAAGGATATAAAAGTACGGCTCATCACTTTTCTTACACCTTGTGTACATCAGGTGCTTCTCTAGAGACTGGAGGGTAGTTGACTACGGCATATGTGACCTGATTGACCTGCTGACGGAGATCCCCGACACCACCATCACCATCGCACATCAGGACACGGACACCATCATCTCTGTTCCCAAGAGAGGTCCGTCTGAATGCTGTTAAAAAGATTGATTTGGAAATTGTGTGTACTGATGCTCCATAATTGAAGATGATCATTACATGTTCATTTAAGATATAGGGATGTTAACAATACACTCAATATAACAATATCGTAGTTGAATACAGGATTAATTCATTCAAGCCGATAATTTGAGAATTGTTCTCTTTTTTGTTTAGTTTTCATTGATAAGGTTTGCCTGAACTCCCTTTTCGATTTGCCTACAGAGCGTACGATGGAGGAAATGGACCACACTAAGCAGTTTGGAAAGGAGGTGGTGGACCTCCTCCGTCACCAGCCTCACTGCCGGATGGCCTTCAGTAAGTTCATCCCCACCTACCACCATCACTTCGGCCGTCAGTGCAAGCTCAGCTACTACGGCTTCACCAAACTGATTGAACTCTTCGAGGCGATCCCCAACATTCTGATGGTGAGTTGTTAAGACTTGTGTGTTTGTAAAGTTGAATGTCTTGTGGTCTTTGGTGCTCCAACCCTAAGGTAAAGGTCAGTTCATCTCTGGTGTGCAATGATAGCTTGTCCAACTTCCCTTTTTTAGGCGGACTTAACAAGGTTATAGACAGGGCTGCACATAACTGGTGCGCAGGTGCGCATGCGCACCTCCGCCAAAAAAAGAGCACCGTGTCATTTGAAAAAAGGCGCATTTGCGTACCAACATTGAGAGAGAGAGAGAAGGGAGAGGAGAGAGAGAGAGAGAGAGAAATATATTTGCGAGTTGCATATGAACCTATGATATGAACTCAGGGCCGGCCCGTAGCTCTGGCGTAATAGATGTTCGCCTAGGGCGCCAGATCTGTGGAGGCGCTGCGCTGGCTGTTCTGGGAGGGGAAAAAAACATTTTTGACTGTTGGGGCTCATCCTAATTTCCGGCCTTGATGTAACAATATTCACAATTAAGTAATTGTAACACCCTTTTCACCCCGGTTACACGTTTCATTTGCCCTTTATGATGGGTGCTGTAAGTGATGAAAATGGGGGATGTTGGCTTATCTGGCGCCCGCAGCTCACAGCCAAAATGCGAGTGAGCGTGGGAGAGAGGGAGGGTGCACCGGTTCCGGCGCTGTTGTTATTAGCATCTGGTGCTAGCTGCTTTAACGGATATAAGAAGAAGATGTTTCTACAATAATGTGGAGGGAGAGTCCTCTCCAGTCAGACTGAGAGACTGATAACTACAGCTCAGTGAGGTAAGGACTCTTAGTCTAAGTTCAAATGGTTTGGTCGCAATTTATGTAAACACATATTTCCAAGGCACTCCTTTATAATTATTGGGATAAACAGGTTTGAAATCATTCCAATGTATACTATAGGACAGTAACCAAAAATATCCTTTAAAACTGGAGAGATAAAAAAATATGCATAAATAAATGTTAAGATAAGATATGAATGAACAACATAAATAAAATAAGTTACATTAAATTGTTATTGGCTATGGTAGGCTATTGGTTATGTTCACATACTTATTTGATTACATCCACTTTTCTAAGATGACAACAGAGACTTTTGACCCAAACCCAGCTGTTGACTTGTGGATGCAAGCAGCTAATCACAGACTCAACCAGAGAGAAAGTAGTAGGCCTACATCATCAGCTACCATGTCTGACAGAGAGGAAGACAGTGAGGAGAACAGTCAGGAGGGTAGTGATTAGTGCTGTAGCACGACGACATATTTCCGCGTCGACGCGTCGCCACCATAGACTGTATGACGCCACACACACGTGGGTCACCCAAAGCAACAAGCAGTTCGCAATCGCACTTCTAACACAATGGAGACTGAAACGGCTACCAACTCCTCCTCACAGGATTGCGCACGAAGCCCTCAAACGAAAACATCTCGCCCCAGGTCTTCAAAAGCATGGGAATATTTTAAAGTTAGTCCAAAACGCAAAGATATTTATATATTGATATCTCACTGAGACTGCTGCATAGCCTAGCAGAAGCAGCAGCTAGCTGTGGTGGCTACCATTAGCAGCTAGCATTTGCTCTCCGATTTAAAATGGAATTATGGATTATAAATTCAATAATTGTTTTATACATAGACGTTAAAAACCTATGGATTAACCGATTTAGCCGCGTTTTTTCTCATTTTAATGCCATTGAACACGTATTTTGATCAGATTGACAGCTACGGCGGTGAGACGATCTCCCTAGAAGCTCTGTGAAGGTACGTGTTGTGATGACTGTATTTGCTTCCCCTGTCGCGAGTCCGGATCACTCAGTGATGATACTATGTACCTACATAATCTGTGGAGTCTCAGCTTTAATCGGATATCTTGTATGTGCAGCTACGATAAGTAATAAGGGTACTTTTATCTTGAGATTTGTGCCAATGTCCGTTAGCATTTTTCGCTCAGGGGTCATTAGATGCTTCTTATGAGACTTGTGTTTTGTTTTGGTAAACATGGTTTGTATCGTCAGTTAGCTGAGATTATGTCCGTTAATCTGGTATAACACATTAATAGGTTCTTAAATATTAAGATCCCCTGAGACACAGTATCGTGAAAAAAAAAATTTTTACATTACGTTTTTTATGAATTGAACAACAGAAAATAATCGTTCGATTAGTCGTTTTCAAAATAATCGTTTCCCCCCAGCACTAGTAGTGATGACAGCTTGTAGGATTACTGGTCGTGCTAATGTTGTCTTGTGTTCACCTCTGCATGTGTGTTCTGTGTTCACCTCTGCATGTGTGTTCAGTGCCGTGTATCTGGCAAATAAAGTCAAGACCCCCTCAAAAGTTACGGTTTATTTCATTTTAAGGATGAGCACCAAGCAACATCTCCAGGTGCTCCTTTGAGAACCAGGGCAAACAAGTTATGTGCACCCCTGGTTATAGAGTGTTGCAGGAATGAGTCCTGAACGCCCAAATAAGTTAGCATGTTAGCACTTCCGGCTTCCCTCGCCTCAATGTTTATTTGTACGCGTTTTTGGTTTGATGTCTGAAAGAAGTTCTGTGACATGAAGTAAATGCCCCACTGGCTTTTGCTTGAATGAAAACAAGTCAGTTGCGCAAAATTGACAAAATGAGAACGTTTAACGTGGTCAAGCCAGACATTAGCCACCTTTAGCTTAGCAGTTGTGACATGAAGTCATGCAACCTCAATGCAGTTCCTTTATAGCATTACGCTAGCTCTTTACTTCTGGTGATTGCTTTACGGTTCAAAAAAGTGGTTTTAATATGTGTTTGCCACAGTTAGTTCCTGCAATATTCCAAAACCCAATGGAAAAAAATCCTGTTTTCCTCCGGGTTGGTCTACAGAAATATGCCTTTTCCTCTGTCTCTGCCTGAACAGTAATGTAACATCTGCCCTCTACCTTTTTCAGGTGTTGGAGTGTGGAGAGGAGAAAGTGCTGACTCTGACAGAAGTGGAGCGCATCAAGGCTCTGGCGGCGCAGCTGGTGAAGCTGCTGCGGGCTCAGAAGAACTCCAGCCTTCCTGTCAGCCAGCTGCTCACCGAGTACAGCAAGACCTTCGGATACGGCCTCCGCCTGCAGGACTACGACGCCAGCTCCCTGCCCGCTCTGCTCACCAAACTCTGCCATGTTGTCAAGGTGAAGGACACCTACACATTTGAGTTTTTCTGTTTCTGTGGATGTTACTTTCTAATCTTGTAGATTTCAAATGACTGCAAATACATTGGGTTTCTTAGCATTTTCTTTCTTTAAAAAAATGTTTTCCTTACAATTCTACTCGGAGAAGGGATCCAATGTGTTACAAATATTTTTTAATTAATTTAGGAAAAATAGCAATACAAAGGGAGGCCTGGTGAAACCCCACTAATGACACTTATTTTATTCTACCTATGTTTCAAATCAACAACTTTCTTATCAACAAATCAAACGTTTTGACACTTTACTTTGATGGTGATTAACCCTAATCCTGTAATGTCTACCTGCAGGTGGTGGATGGCTCTGCGGGTCGGGAGGTCCAGCTCATCAACAGGAAGTCTCTGCGCTCGCTCACTTCCCAGCTGTTGTCTCTGCTCATGTCCCAAGAGGAGGAGCAGGTCAGCTGGGGGCTCGGGGTGGAGGAGTTGAGTCAGCACTACCTGACTGCCCACGGAGCCACGCTCAACCCTTGTGAATACGGCTTCCTGTCTCTCAGCGAGCTGCTCAAGAGCCTGCCTTACTTGGTGGAGGTGAGTCATGGAAATTGAAAACTTGGAGGCCTTTCCATTTTTGCTCCACTTCACTGCGTCTCTATTTCAATGTCCTGTGATCTTCTTTCCTAGTTGTACATTGAAGAGAGTGATGACGCCGACCAAGCCCCCAGTGGTGTTTGTGGTGAGGAGCGGGTGAGGCTGACCCGGCTGTACCAGTTCGCCCGTAACGTCCGCAGCCTGCTCCACACCTACCACTACAACCAGATCTTCCTCACTGAGTTCCAGGGGGCTTACAACAAATTCACATGCCGCATCCTCGAACCACGCTCCTATGGATACATGGGTATCGACGAGCTGCTCAGCGCCATTCCACAGGTGGGATACATTTCATTAGATGGAGCAAAACATTCATAGAGGTGCTGTGGTGATGTATTTTTTTTAAGGTCAAACCAGAAGTAAGATCGCCAAGGGCTCCGTCGACTAAATGCAATGATTGTTCCATCGGGTATTTTAGAACTTTTATTGTCATTATATAGTACAGATACTAGTAATGAAACGGTTTCTCTGCATTTGACCCTTCTAGTGTTAGGAGCAGTTTGAATACTGCAAAGAAAGGGCTCTTTGGCAAACATGTTTAAGACATTTTGTCCAGCAGGATAATCTCAACATATAAACACGGTTTTCTGATTTTCAAAACGCATTCACCAGAAGTTAAAACAAAAAAATTCTATAAAAAAAGAAAACTAAATCTGCTCACATACGTCACAGCGGCTAAGCTAAAGCAGGCTAATTAGCAGTCTCTATTAGCCACTTGTTAGCAACCCGCTGTTTTTATGACACAGGCTTCATACAATTATAATTGCGGTGTTACGACCTATTTTATGTCGTAAAACTAAACGTGAACATTTCTTAAGCTTGTAAACCACAGACCTTATTTCAGGCTGCCAACCACAAACGCGTTTAAAAAGACTTAGACTTCCAAACGAGGGAACCGGAAGTGCTAACATTCTTATTCATTTATCGGTTTTAGGACTGCTGCACCAGATCTATAGATAAGTTAGGATACATCTAAATCCCCCATATTCTTTTAAAAGCAAGTCATCAATTTTCTCATGGCATTTGCTTGTTGAGGTCCCTTAACAAAAATATGGTCTATCTGCATATTGTAAATCTTCCTTTTTTGTATTTTGCGCTTTTATCAGGTGGTCTGGATCAAAGGGCACGGTCACAAGAGGATTATCGTTATGAAGAACGATATGAAAGGTAAAGGTGATGGCTTTTCACGCTTTATTAATTAATTAATTATTAAGACTGTGAATAATAAAGTGATCATTATGTTTTGTTTTTTTTATTAGTAAGGGCAAGCTATTCAGTTCCCAGCAGTCCGCAGCTAGGAGAGCCCACGGAGAGCCCGAGAGAGAGCCCGAGAGAGAGCCCGAGAGAGAGCCCCATGACCAACGCTACGTCAGGAGCCCAGAGTCCAGGTAATGCACAAGTTTTAAATATAGACTTCTCAATCCTCATTTTTACACGACTTTTATTTTAGTGATGTAATAAACTTATATGAGAAGGGCAAGATTTGTACAGCTTCTGAAACTAATTCATGTTTCATGTCCCCCCCCCCCCCCAGGCTGCGATGTAGTGTCAGAGTCGGAGCTGCTGGGTCTGACCCCCCCCCTGGACCTGCTCTGTGGTCCGTTCCCCTCCTGCCTGCCCTCCCCTCAGCTCCACCCAGACCCCGTCCTCCAAGAGATGGACCTCATTCACTTTGAGGAGAAAACTCCACCACCAGGTCAGTGTTCATGTACCAAGTTTCAGGAAGTTGAATTGCATTTAAACCCATGTTAGTCAATTGCTCTAGTAGTACTGAGAATTGAACAGACTTTGTACCCCTGTTAGACTGTAGATTTGTCTGTCTTTCTTCAGGTCCTCAACATTACAGGGATTAAACGGCCACTAGATTTAACAAGCCTCTTGCAGGGTCAGCAATTATATTTTGATATTCGAGATTTAAAAATGTCTGCAACTGTAGGAGGATGCATACACTTTATATGGGGCAGAATAAACAAGCACATATTTTTCTTCAGATGTAATGTTTTTCATTTGATATTCCTTAATTGAACAACCTGTAAGTTAATGTAGTGGTTCAGTGAGGATGTCGTTTTTCAAATTGGTCGCAAAGGCTCCCTAAAAAAAAAAGCAAAGGGATCCATCCAATGAGATTCAGTATGTTGTAGCTTATATACCACCACCACTGTTCTAATGGTTGAAGCATAAATGAAACCGCCAGAAGAATAAAAGATAAAGTTAAGCTTTAAGGGAACAACATGAGTGTCACAAGACTTCTCGTCAGCACCGCTAAACAAAAAGCTTTATTCACCAGCGGTATTTACTGCTGTCATTTTATTTGTGGAACAAAACGTGAAAATCATGTATTGAGCGCAGACGCTTTATAAAAACATTCAATATAACTTGACTTCATGACAAGGGAAGCTGAAAGTGTTAAAGAGCCAACTAGTTTGTCAATTTAGGACTCATTCCCGCACCACTTTATATGGTAGCGTCTGCTCCACTTGTAGGCTCAATGTGTTTTAAAGCGATTGAGTCTTCAGCCTTATGCAAAGCAAAGGAGTGAATCACACTCTGCTGTCTCATCAGGCGTGAACTCAGTCTGTACTTGTGTGTGATTTCAGAGAGCGGGGAACCTGCAGCTGTAGCCGACTCTGCAGTCTCCAAACCAGACAGGAAGCCCCCCTTGTCCACGGACAGTCCCGGCAGGAGAGCCACGCGCAGCAGAATCAAACTCGCTGCCAACTTCTCCTTCACGGCAGGCCTCTGATCCTCTACACACACAGCAATACTAGTTCACACAGTGTAACTCTAAATCAAAGAGTTGAGCGGCGACACTGAACACACCACACAGACCAGGAGCGTTAGTTCTTAACCGGCTGCTTTCTTCTTATATCTCCTCATCGGCCATCTTTGTTTTCTTCCGTTTGCTAATTTCACAATTGGTTCCGTGATTCTGAGCGTGTTCGTCATGCTGTGACTTTCTTCTTGCAGACTTTCTGCAGTTCTTTTATTTGCCAAATGAACCTACTGTAACATCTTGATTCCGAGGGAAGTCTAATTTTCTGTGTGGATCTAAAGTTCAGCGCCACGTTGTTTCAACTCGCTGGCTTACAATGAAAACAGTCTAAATATGAGTTGCCACTGCATACAGAGTATGCGATAATGGGAGAAATGCTAGGGATAAATGACTACGTTTTCTATGTTGAATCCAACTAATGTAGTTTTATAAAATTACAGAAGAGATTATTGGTTCAAGCGGCATCTCAAGAAACCTTCATTTATACATCCTTGCTGGATCCCCTAAGACGGAGCATTTAATTTATTCATTTTTAAACTCCTTTCAAATGTTGTGACTCTTTGCTTTTTAGGTAACTGTAGACATGTCAACAAAATGGCTGCTGAGCACCAGCGTACTCTTGGGTAAAGTCTCCAAATGGGTAGCTTCTCTGAGGTATCTTCTCGTCTTTGTTAGGTAGCCTCAGGACAGCATTTTCAGTTCCTTTTTATAAATGCAGAGTATGTATTAGTCTGTGGGAGAGTGTTGCCCAAGTGTGTGGTGTATTTTGATGACATTAGTGTTAACTATTCAGAATGTGGCTTTCCTTAACGGAAGCCATCCGTTTTTGAACGGTTTACAGCGAGGTTTTGATTGATATTGCGACTTAAAATCTCAGGAATTTTTATTCTTGTCGTATTTGACCTTATTTATTGCAAAGATTTTGGCTCTTCTCTGCAAGTCCTTTTCTGAAGACCTGAAAGGGGGGGGGAGAAAGTGGCTCTCTAATACTCCGGGGGTCCAGATGTGTGCTGAGGCGGCAGGAACTGAGATGTAGAACTTTAGCCAGCAGTTGTGTTCTTTTAGCTGCAGTTTGTCTGTGGGGTTTACACCGGAGTAGGTGGTGTGAAATATGCATGGTGTGCATAAATGAGTTTATGCATGGTGTAAGCCCGGGAGGAGCAGGCGAATGCCATTTCTTTTACATCAGACTTTTATTTCCACCGTGTCTCGGAGAGTCGGTCTCACCCCCTGCCACAAAACGCTCAAGGTTCTCGAACCTTGTTGCTGGTCAGTCTGTGGGGACGTGGACTGCCTGAGGAAGAGTTCAGGGGAGCGGAGAGCACTCCCGAGTTTTTGATTTTTAACGACGAGGTGATTGGTTGTGAGATATTAGATTGGCGCGGTGGGCTGTTTTGAGGAGCACCACGGGGGCTCTGGGCGGCCTCCTGAAGAGACGACGTGCACACAGAGGACCCTCTGCGGCTCTCTGGAATCTGCCGGGCTTTTACAATGGCTTGTATTTGCCGCGGTGCCAAAGGAATCCCCATCGCCTATCTCCCCCTCAGGCCCCTGCATCTCGCAACGTTTTCACTTACCGATGTGTGTTGGTTTCTCAGTTTTTCCTCAAGTGTTTACAAGACTGCTGGATGCCCTATTGCCACCAAAAATGTTGGATGCTGTGAAGTGAAGCCCGACCGCTGAAGTCTAAAGGTTGTTTGTGTTCGGAGGAAAGGTTAAACAAAATGGGGAATAGCCCATTTAATCAGTTTCTGTCCAGTTTCAGTGTTCACCTCTTTAGCCAGTGTTAATCATTTAGTTTGTCAGACTTAATTTTGACTTGAAGCCTTTTTAAATCTGAGATTTCCACCTGCTGACTCGCCAAAATGTCAAACACAAATGTTTTTAAATCAGCGCCGGTCGGGATCTCAACTGCATTGTTTTACTGACTGTCTGGAAACCTCTTTACATTACGGAACAAGCAGAGTAGATAATAGTAGTTAATTATTTCAAATTGTTATTGTCCAAAAGGGGCTGAAAATGCTCAACGAGAAATGTCTAGATTTAATTAAGCAGCAAGGATGTCTTTTATGACTTGAGCAAACCCTAGCTCTCCCTCAGTACTGCAGTGGCACCTTTCTCATTTTAATAACTTCTGTTTAGCTTTCCCTATCCTCTCTTTTCGTCACACCAGTGAAACGCTATTGTACCTGTGAAAATATGCACTTTTGCATAGTTTTGCTTCATGAAATACTGTGAAATTAGCTATTGTTTTTGTGTCTTACCTTGACCTTAGTATTCTGTTTCATGTTGCACTACAACAAAATGTCCTTTATTCAGCAGTGTCTTTAAAACTCCTGCCTTGTGATTATTTTGTTTACTTCCACCCCCCCCCTCATTATACTGCCTCACTGCACCAGAAGTCGCTGTGAAAGTCTAACGTTGTTATAAAGGGACCAAAAAAAGATTTCTGTTAATAAATTTCACAAGCATCAGATGTGTTTTGTTTTTTTGAAGAGAATCAATATTCACCCAGTGTGTTTCCTGAAAGATGCTCTTTATTTAAACATGTATGTACAGGTAGTTTCAGCTTATTTTCTGCATATTTGTTCAATATTCAACATTAGGACCTTCATAAATTCACTACTACAGAATGCCAAGTCATCAGAAGGAAGGTGACAAAGGGCAACACTTTGCTTGACAGGAGTCACTAAAGTCATAATACACTCAAACATACACGTCTATTGTAGGCATTTACAAGAGTTGCATTCAGTTCCTGGTGTTTTATCAGAAAAACGCACGAAGAAATTAATAGGATGCAAAGATTTGTTAGGAATATGGATAATGACATACTACCACAGTCAATATTGATGTGGTGACTCGAGGATGAGCAAGTGTAGTGGATCATTTAAAATCATTCAATATAATATCCCACCATGTTTATCAAAAAAGAAGATGAATTGATGTTATATAGTTACACAATCTCAGAGAAATGAAAAGAAGATGATCATGGTGATCCACCTCACTCTTAAATGTTATTTCTTCAGTGTTTATGACTATGGTAAGTTGTCAGAATCAAAAGAAATGTTTATGCATTGTTGCAATACTCTTTTTGGCCACAAGAGGCTGATTTCATGTTCTAAACGGGACGTGAAGCATTTGTATTTTTCCTAATGGCAGATTAGAGACAAAGATGCATAATTAGACATCAAAAGACATCACAGTCATAATTTAGCTTAGCATTTAAATCAAACTTAAAAAATGGATAATCAGAATAATTTGTTCTCATTTGCCTCTCAGGGATTCCTATAAGGTTAACCAGAGTAATAATTGTTGTGAACCAGTGGATACCACGCTACAATAATGGGTCATGTTTAGATGTACTGCCATTAAGAAGTGGCCTTTGTAGAGTGAAATGCAAATGTTTGGAAACTAACCTGTGATGACCACATTTTATAGCAACATTTCAATGGAGTTTTTGTCACCGAAGAACATTTTCCGTAAGTATTTTCTGTGTTTTTAAATGTTTATCTTCAATAACTACCAAATATTTTTTGACTGTCAAAGTTTTAAATCAAGCACATCAGATATTACAGAATAGCAGAGGATTAAATTGATGTCCGAGCCATTGCATGGAGTCACAATGATTGCTTAGCTCCAGTACAAAAGCCGATTTGTGGGTTTCCTTAAGTGAAAAGGTTCACTGGTTGATAAAGGGCTGTGATGGAGGAATAAATCCCCGTTGTCCATCATGACGGGACGATAACAGATGTTTATTTTCTCCTGTCAGACAGAGATCGCCAGCATTTATATTTCACCGTTTGGACATTGTGCTTGTAGTTCTGCAAATGGCTCCACTCGACCACATGATCACAGACCATATTGTCATCTTAAAGGAACGTTTCATGATGGGTCTAATTAAAGATGTGTATTGATCAGTATTTTATTTACAATTCCCCTTCCCTGACCCAATTACAAACCTGCTTCCTGAACAGATGCGAGGAGAAAGCAGTTAGCCGAGGTTCTCTGAGTTACAGGAAGTGATGGATGACGTGTGATGCGATGTGAGTGTTTCTGATACGGGGTCTTAGCGGTTACATGACGGCACACTGCGTGGCTCCACAGCAGTCCTTGATGACGGCCACTCCTGACTTGGTGATGGACGGCTTGTTGGGAGGTGGCTCTGGGATTTGTCTCTTCGGCTTTGCAGCATCTTGCCATAAAGAAAGAGGACAAATAAATCAGATCAAAAGTGAACAATACTCCTACTCTGAGTGTGTGTTTGTGTAAACTCACTTTGTGTGGCTTTGAGTTTCTTCTCCAGAGGCATCAGCTTCAGTCTCAGGTACTCGGCCATCTCCTTGTCCTCCTCTTGCTCCCTGTGATTTACATACAGTCACATGATCAGCTGTTTGAATACAATGCAACAGAACAGGCTGCTTTTACTGTTAGTCACCGGACCTTATGTACCTGACCCGCAGTTTGTACCTCTTCTGGGCCTTTTCTCAGAAAACCCTTTATGTGTGAGGTTATAAAATGGTGATTGCTAAGGTCTATTTGGCTGTTTAGGTTTCAGGGTCCTGGCATTGTGCAGGCTGGCTGACTGTCATTACTTACTGGGACACCTAAATAGAGCCAATGTGTTGTAAGTTAAACCTGTGCTTTTGTTAGCCAGAGGTAAGATAACTCCACAGGATGCAAAACATGCTAACGGAATTTTTGTATGGATTAATTAAAGTATTATTATATTTTTATTTATTTTGTTCCCCATACAACAAGATTACAACTTTTACCGTGTTATTCACACACAGCTAGTTCAAGTGTTTGTGTGTGTTTTAGTTTAGTTTTTAATCCTCATATTATATTTATTCTTTTTGGTCTTTTGTTTGTAAAGTGCAAACATTTTAATTGGGTTAAATGTATCTACAAATCTCAAAAACTATTTACACCATTGTTTTTTTGCGAACCAAATTACACATTTGTTCAAAAACGTAGAAAAGGGTGTTTTAAAAAAAAAGTTTTTAAACAATTCAAAACAATGGAAATAATTATTTAATGCATAGCTGTTTTGCAATAACAGTATTTTATATTTGGTACATGGTATCCATGGCCGGCAGGGAATGAATCCCAAAGATTGTAATGACTATTCTAGAAACAGATATTTATTCTGGATAAAAAATCTTGATAACTATTAGATTTTCTGTATGAACTGTTCATTTTGCTGACCCTTCCCCTCAGCACCATGCTCAGGTCGAAATGTCTAATTGTTGTGCCTTGAGTGTAATGACGATATTAGAGAAGCACAAGCTAGAGCTTCACGCTGCTTTGATTTTGACAACATAACACAATGTTACACACTTTACTGTGGTGACTCGTAGAGAATAACAATGATTAAATAATTGAAATACCCAAAACAGAAGCAAATTTGATTACCCACTTTTTAAATTAACCTTTGTAATTGCACAGAAATGTAACATGATTTAATATCACAACCGTTATCTCCGTGTGACACTATGTGGGGGCAAGGGAAGAGATGACAATACAGAGCCATGGTTATTAGTCAGCCTCCCACACACTCTCTCACTCACACACACACACACACACACACACACACACACACACACACACACACACACACACACACACACACACACACACACACAGGCAGCAATGTGATGATGAACTGACCCCCCCATGCTCACATTTCTTGTCTCCTTCCTGCTGTTTCTCAACCATCCTATGTCTTTCAAGTGCAGACACAGTGTATGCAGTTCAACCCGACACTGTCAGTAAACACACATTCAGCTGTCTGTGTATACGTTTTAGTGTGTGTGTGTGTGTGTGTATGTGTGTGTGTGTGTGTGTGTGTGGGAGCGCTGTACCTTAATCTCTCCACCTCTGCGTCGTCCACCAGGAAATCCCTCTTCTGCACCAGCTTATGGATCTTCAGGATCAACTCTTCTTCCCGCTGCCTCTGCTTCTTGTTTCTCTCTTTCTCTGGGGAGGTAAGGGAACATGAAAGTCACACAAACACAAAACAATAATAATGGACGACTGAAGGGACAAGCAGACTGATTTAAACCGTAATATCCTCACATTAAATATTAATAGAGGTACATTTTGTTACTCGCAACTGACCTTAACAAGCTGACCTTATAGCAAAGTCAGCTGAGTCACGTCACGAGCAGACCCTTAATTCTCCCCTATTAATAATTGATAAGAATAAAGGCAATGACTTTATTATGGAAATGCTAAAGAGATGTCATTTTGTGAATGGTTTTGCCTTCACAGCCAGAGATCTTCAATATGAACGCTGCTTCCTCTTTGCCTTGTCTAACTTTTCCAACCTTCACGCTCCAAAGCACAGAAAACACACACACAGGTTTTCTGACTCTGCTGCCGGTATGTATGGGCGAGGAGGGGGTTTGAAAAACGACTGCTAACATCAGCTCTTTCTCCCGTCAGGAAGCAAAGTGGAGCAGTGCAGCTCGGTGTGTTTTTCCCCTGGGGGCAGAACAATCTGAGGGGCGCGGGGGCTACAGCGGATACATCCCAATGTCAGAGGAAAGGAGAGGCTCACGTGACTCATTGTGCCGTGTGAGTGCAGTAATGGGCTGCCTGTCCCCCTAGCAACAGCATACATGAGGCCCCAGTGGCTCACAAGAATGTCAATAAGGGACAGTTTTTGTGTGACCGGTAATCCAGAATGCACAGAGGGCGGACAGATTAATAGGAACACATTACAATATATTACAATCTAATTAAAGGGGCAGACACCATTGAGACAGTGAGGTCATGTCCTCTGGAATTGGTTTCTAGGAATTTTTAGGGATGTTTTTATTCCACAATCACAGCGCATAGGGGAAATTGTACGGGCAGATTTCAGTGATACTTAATAAAAGATCAACTGTTATTCCTGACATTTTGGAGAAAATGTCATTCAAAAGTAAAGGTTGAAAGCTCTTTAGTAGAAACCATATTATTAATATTTTGAAATAAAAAACACATATGAAATGCACCCTTGCTCAATTCAATAACTTTTCATCTACAGCCTTACTTGGCTTGAAATGATCTGTGGCTAATGTAGGCTAATGCTAGCTACTGTTAGCAAACTTAAAGGTGACCTGTGGAGTTTGTTATAGAAAAACGAATAATATTTACATTCAGGTTACTTGTCCAAACTGTGTGGCTTGGTCAATGCTCCTCAGGAAACTTTAAAGATAGATAACGTTTCGATTGTTTCAATTCTGTTTGGAGATTAGAGGCAGGTGGGGTTGCACTGGGAGGATTCATGAACTCAGTCATTTAAAAAAGAAAGAGCTTTTTGAACATTAAAGCATGTAAACATGTCACATTAGAGGCATAAAATACAAATATGAAACCTGAAATGTAGCATAATAAGGCCCCTTTAAAATCCGAATGCAGCCCTGAATCAAATGAGCTCAGATCAGGAAATGTTTTCATACATAAACTTCAGTTTTTTTTCCTTCCCTCTGCACATTGGATATTATTTTGCCAATGCTTTAGAAAACACCCTGTGATTCGCCTGTCACTGATGCTTTACCCAAAGCAGCTTATGGACATACTGTACATGTATCTTTTGACTGTGTGTGTGTGTGTGTGTGTGTGTGTGTGTGTGTGTGTGTGTGTGTGTGTGTGTGTGTGTGTGTGTGTGTGTGTGTGTGTGTGTGTGTGTGTGTGTGTGTGGGTGTGTGTGGGTGTGTCTTTGAACACAACACCATCCCCTCCTGCTCATACACTCATCTAATGTCACATTCTCGCTGCATTTCAGGTACAGATAACACCGGGACTCACTATGGAGGTAAACCAATATTTGATGATGTACTCGGCGCCACAAACACACCACAGAAACATCCAAGAAGAACGTGTTTACGGATATTCATTGTGGACACCTTGCCTGGAACGCCTCCCTCAGCTCATATTGCCTTCACAGTGACGATGCATGAGTATGATAATCTCTGCCTCGTGTTTCCAGCTCGTCCCTGAGACTCACCATCAATCCTCCGTAGTTTAGCTCCATGACTCTCCCTATACATCAACCATGCCGCCTGCTGAGGTTATGAGATGCTGGCAAGCTGCAAACAGAAGCACTGAATGCCAAAAACTCTATTTTCGAGTCCAAACAGGGAGCGTGGAGAGTTTTCCACACAGAAGATCGATTCTGAGAGGTTTATTTTCTGATATGCTGCTGCAGGAAATATATAAATATATGTGCGTTTGAAGTGTACCTGGTGCTGTGACAATCTGTCTCAGCTCCTGCTTTAAACTCATGATGTCTTTGCAGAGCTGAATGTCATCCATCCTATGAAGAGAGAGAGAAAACAGTGAATATCTGGCTTACATCACAGGAAAGATGATTTTATTATAGCTGCTTCCTGAACCCTGGAACAAAAACAGACTTCAACTGAACAATCTGCGGGAAGGATCTATGCACACAATGTGTTTCAATGTGAACAATTCTGTCAATTGCAAAAAGCACAACATTTATTTGTAAAACTTGAATATGAGGCTATATATACATTATTGTATTCGGGATTGTTAGAAACGGTATTTCGATCTCTGTCTGTACACACAAACTGAAAGATTGACAATAAAGTTGTAAATAAATAACATGTTATAAAAGAAGAGAGCAACATCTTTCAGAAAACCATTGTAAAATGGTCACTAAAACAAAGATTCAGTTGACTTTGACTTTTGACTTGATTTTGATTATACAAGGTTTGCCCTTTCCTGTAGTGTGTTTTATAGTTTTGGTTCTCCTTTGTTTACTTCCGTAACCTAGTGACATCACTATGTTACACTTCTATTGGCTAGCACTCGAACACGTTGTACGTGATTGGCTAAGTGGCAGGACATCTCTAAGCAGTTGACAATCACAACAGAGCCGGACAGCTAACCAATCAGAGCAGACTGGGCTCTGGTTTCAAACAGAGGGTGAAAAGAGGTGCTGCACTTTAACCCTATTATTGATTTGAGGATGTTGTTTGATGTAAAAGATCTCACTACGCCTTGAGAATAAAACAGATGTAGAAAGAGGGAGTGTATTCAAGTAGAATGCCTATTTTTTAAACTACACATTTAATTTATCAGAAATCTCAATTGTTTTTAAATAGCTTCTTTTCAAAGTATTTAGCTTATTTTAAAAGAAAATGTCCAAAACATTCCAATTTGAAAAGTATTAAACAAATGACTGTTAAATGCCTGTGACTTCATAACTTATAGTATAAAGTTGACTGCATTTACTTGCACATTGGTCTTTTGCAACATTCCCTATTTTATTTATCTTATTTATGTTTTATGTCTTACGTATAATATGTATATTTAAGTTGCATTGTTGAAGGAGCATGGGACTTGCCCAAACTATACTTTGGCTACAGTGCATATGACAATAAAGCTTTTGAAGCTTTGAAATTAGGGATGCTCCGATCGCCAATTTTGGGGCCGATCGCCGGAATCAGTATCGGCCGATACCGATCGAGTGGGCCTAAGTGGAAGATTTAAACATCACTTTAAATCTTCCATTTAAAGTGATGTTTAAAACTCAGTTAATGGGGCTCATTCACTGGCGCTTCCACAAACAACAATCAACTTAATTATTACATTCAAATGATGTACATTATTCAAGTTTACATTAACTTTGGATAATAACGGGAGAAATGAGCGGAAGCGCTCTCTTTTCCACTCTCCCTCTCTCGCTCCCCCTCTCCTGTCAGTATCTCACGCAGCTCACTGATCCAGTAATGAGTGACCCGACAGTGAAGAATACATATATTTATAACTAGTTTAGCTTGTTCCAGAGGTAGATAAAATAGCTAAGTGTGTTAGGTCTAACTCTCAGTGTGTGTTTCGTTCCGCTCACCGGTCCGGCAGGCGGAGCTGCAGGATTTCTGCTTCACACACACGTTGCATTCCGCTATTTTACTTTCTTTTTCGGACACCTTAAAATAAAGCCAGACCGGTGAAGCCATTTTGGCGAGCTTGTTTTGCCGCACACAGAGAAAAGTGTCATGTATTTTACGTCATGCGATCGGCTCTCGCGATCGGCATGTTTAGAGAGCACCGATCGATCGGTAGAGAGTGAGTATCGGCCGATCTCGATGAATGAATGAAATAGCAACACTTCTTCGAAACACAGATCAATAGAGATATGATATAGCCTTGGGTGAACAATTGATATAAACCTTGAAATCCTCTATTGTACAAGCCATAAATGGACTGTTATGTTGATTGAATAATGGATTAGTGTAGAAATCATTTCAGCGCTGCTGATCCCTGCTGCTGTGCTGTAGAATCCCCTCTTGTCCCTGTCATTAAGACATCACAGGCCGGTGCCTCAGAGTGTGTGCGGATGAAGAACATGCAACATCAATCAAAGCCCCCCACTCCCTGAGCCCCCTGCAGCCCTGATGTCTCACCCTCAGGGGGCTCCATGTTTCCCCCTCTTCCTCCTTAAATCCCTGCCTTTCTCTCTCTCTCTGCGGAGCTGTGACAGCTACCACAGATTTCATTCTGCCTGCGATAGATCACCGATGACTCATCATCATCATCATCATCCTCCTCCTCCTCCTCCTCCTCCTCCTCCTCCTCCTCTCCTCCTCCTCCTCCTCCTCCTCCTCCTCCTCCTCCTCCTCCCTGTTGCTCCGTTTTACACTTCCCTCCTCTTCCTCTCTCCCCTTTTGACCCCTCCCTTCAGTTTCTTTCTCCTCCTCTCTCTCTGTTTTTCTGTTTCAGTCTCTCAGTGCTATCTGTGGATTCCAGCAGCTTCTGCACTCTGACACTCCATCTGCTACTCTGCGTGTGTGTGTGTGTGTGTGTGTGTGTGTGTGTGTGTGTGTGTGTGTGTGTGTGTGTGTGTGTGTGCACTTCTTGAGTCACACTGAGCCTGACAACAGAGACGTAAGCAGTAAGCAGCGTGGCGGCCTAATGAAGCCTTTCGAGTGGAGGCGTACATTTGCTTCTAACACTGAGAGAGCTCTCTGATGTTGGACACCCCGACCATCACGCCGTGTTGTTAGGGTGCAACGACCCACAGAATACACTGTCCTGCTCGTTGAGTCATGTGATACAGTTTCAAGATGACAAAACAACTACCATCTATTTCTCTCAATTCAGTTTTAGAGGCAGAAGTAGAGCCGCTTTCTTTATTGTAATTTTCTGTGTTCATTTAAATTGGTATTTGAAAGGAAAACATACATTTGTCCTTCACAAAATAACAACATTTGCTAAATATGTTACAAAACAATAAATATGTTCAGCTCAGTAACAAAATGGCACAGTGAAACAGCTCTTAAGCTACGCTGCAATTGAATGTTTGGAACATTGAATCTCCTATCAATACATATTGTGATCCTATAGTCTTCAAAATGAAATAGAGAAACTTCACAGACATTTTTAATGACAAAATCCCCAAAAATGTAATTTTATTTTATTGATACCAAAATGATCCTCCTCTTTGATTTGCAACATTGTCTGTAATGTACAGATACTTAATCCAACATGTTAAAGGTATTTTAAATACAAAGGATGTGGTCAAATACTTGGTTCTGTTGAACCCTACAAGTACTAGTAGTAGAAGTAGTTAATTAAAATTAAATGAATGTGTTATAATCACACAATAATAAGAATGGATCTGGCCCTTCCTACATCCAGGACATGGTTAAACCGTACACCCCAGCGCGTGCACTACGCTCTGCATCAGCCAAACGACTCGTTGCGCCCTCGCTGCGAGGGGGACCCAAGTTCCCATCGGCGAAAACACGTGGGTTTGCTGTCCTGGCTCCAAGATGGTGGAATGAGCTCCCCATTGACATCAGGACGGCAGATAGCTTGCACATCTTCCGGCGCAAACTGAAAACTCATCTCTTTCGACTCCACTTCGAGCGATAGAACTATTAACGAAGCACTTTTATACTAATAAAGGACTGGCTTACCTAAAGCCAGTTGAGTAGCACTTGAAATGTTTGGCTCTATGAAACCCGATGTACTTATATGATTCTGTTTTCTTCAAGGTTGTGTCTTCCTGGTCGAATGTACTTATTGTAAGTCGCTTTGGATAAAAGCGTCAGCTAAATGCAATGTAATGTAATGTAATGTAATAATCAATCATTATTAAGTCATTTTACAGCAAAAATGACAATATTCAATGGTTTTGTCTGCTTTAACGTCAGAAATTGCTGCTATTCCTTGTCTTACATAATAATAATTTAGGATGTGGGATTGTTTTTCATTTTGAATTTGATGGATTTGGGATTTTCTGCTGCCTGTTTTAAAATAACCAACAGCACACAAGCACTGGAAGACAGGACGTTTCCAGTATTCTCTGGATATTCTACTGCTTAGTATTACACTCAATATTAGTCTCATCAACATATTAACTATATTCCTCATATTTATGTCGCCATGCTTCACAAAAAGCACAGACACACTTCCCTATGATAAATACGGTGACGGATACAGAGGAAGAAATACAGAGTGTATTCCCAAACACTGATCCATAATCCTTGAGGCTGATGAGAAGCCAACGAGTTCATCACGGTGACTCACTCAGCTGCTATTGGCATGTCCAGTCCTCTGCATAATCAATGGCCTCCCTCTGTCTCTTAAACAGCAGACTTCAATCGTGCGCCATGTCAACCTCATTATCCACTCGAGGAGGAGTTGTTATGACACCTTATAGATTCTATCTTTGTCACACGTTTGGTGTGAAAAACACGCAGAAATTGACAGTTCATTAACTCACATGAAGCGCAGCTCTGACTCCCGGCGCACCAGGACCTCTCGCAGGCGCTGGATCCGAGCCATCTCCACCTCGATCTCCTCTGGAGCCATGGTGCTCTCCGCCATGGACACATCTGAATGACCTGGGGGGCAGAGGGAGGTAAGGAAAAACGAATTAGTACAAAAATGAGGAGGAATGAGTACACATGTGTAAAGAAATGATAAGGAGGAATACAAAGGATGCTTTAATAAGGCATTTTGAGTACACATGTGTAAAGAAATGATAAGGAGGAATACAAAGGATGCTTTAAAGGCAGGAGACCTATCTCCTGCCTACCTATCTTCCTATTTTCTTTGATATTATTCGTCAAATGCAACTTTTTTTAATCCGTTGAAAACTTTCTCGCAGTGTCAGCTACTTGGCAGACTCATTTCTCACTCATAGCCCGTGACTCATCTGCCAAGAACATGATATTCAGAGAGAAAGCAGCGTGTGTAATTGAGAGAGGTGATTTGCATGTTATTGTCACAGCAGAGCTTCGAGCACAAAAGACTGTTTTCTACTCAAAAAGGCAGCAATCACTGATGAGGAGAAAATGTGTGTGTGACATAAAAGGAAAGTATCAAACAAGATGTTGGGGTAAATCAGACTTATCTGTCTCTTCAAATGCACCAGACTCCATTGAGCAATACTGTACTTTTTTGGTTTACCGCTGCCTTTATCGGTTAGTTAGTTGGTATAATTGTGTGACTTTGGTGTTGTGATGCAGCAGTAGACCAACAACATCGAATAACTGATTGTGTCAATGGAGTCTGGTGGCTTTGGGAAGATGGATATAACAGCTTCAGGTCAAGAAATGGATGTCTATTAGGGAGGTGAAGCGGTCAAATAATCCAAATAGAGCATACACTTTGATTGATATTGATTTTGTTTTAGGTGGCTAAAATATATTTGGCTGCTGCCCTCGTCTACAATAGTCCTGTCGGATCTCCAAATGTACGAGCATACTGAAAAGTACCTCATCCGAACCAACCTAGAATACATTTATCCCTGTAAGCATATAATGAAGGCACTTTGAGAAGGTTGTTAAAGAAGGGAAACAATAAAAACCCTGGGTACTAACATCAATGACCAGCTGTGGCTCCTCACTGATTGGCTAACTCCTCCCTGACATGGACCACCAACCTGACATTCTCCATTCCTGCCACCGACAACACTGACCAAACCCTTATTGCACTGATCGATGCACCGACCACGGCACAGGCTCTTCCAACAGACCTTACCAAACACCATCAACAGTATTTAGGATCTGGAACTAAGAACATATGCAAATATTAACCTCTTTATTAAAAGAAACCCCCTGCCATTGTTACACAGTTTGCCTTGTAGTCTACAAGGCATTGAGGGTCTAATTAAGCCAGACTGCATTATGGGTATTGAAGGATTCAGGGGTGTGAAACATAATAGAAGTTTATATTCCTGTTTCTTACAATCCCCCGTTTAGGGAGAAGTAACACTTTATCTCTTGAGTACCTCTTTTAACAAAGTATTTCTGCTATAGTTCAGTATAGCACATGTATAGCAGCCGTCATAGTTGTCTTCCACTTTTGTGAAGAAAATGAACATTTCATATGAATGCATGAAAGTGAGACTGGAAGTGATACCTGCAGTCAGGGTACTGAAAAACATTAGGGCTGCAGGTAGCAATTACTTTTCTTACTGATTGATTATATTCTTGTTTAATCTACTAAATGTTGGCCATTACAATATCCAAGAGTCCAAGCTTTTAAATGTGATGCATGACATGTATCCACACTGTGACATTAGAGGAGGGGAGCAGCTTGTGATCTTGCAGAAGCTGTAGTCTGCGTCTGTGGGGATTTTCATGGATGCTCCCTGAGGACAGAGCTGACTCACCGCCGCAGACAGAAGTCTGCACAGGGGGGCTCTGGTTCGTTTGTGCCTTCGCTGAAGTTGAATCCTCACCCTAAGGGTCTGCTGAGAAAAGGCTAAAAAACTCACTTTACATCATGGAAATGCAGCAGCACGCTGGAGATGAGGTTTGAAATGTTTCTTTCTGTTCCCTCTGTGTCTTGTTTGTCTCTGCACACTCCAGCCACGAGCTTCCCATCAATGAGACCGAGCTGCATTAAGTCCGGACTGGTGGCAAAGAGCCAGATCAATAATGTCTTAACAGCTTCCTCTCATCTGAGCAACCTGCTCACTCAGCATGAAAGACATAACGAGAAACACACAGCTTCGATACGTCCTAATTAAAAGCAGCTTTTTCCACCAGGGACGTGTCATGTTATCTCTAGTCCCATGTTGCACAAACACTCCCTGCTTTGCACATTGGCCGCAGATGTGAATCAGACTCCTGTTAATGAATAAGCCCTGTTTCTGGATCAACACTTTACATCAGGATTAGGATTGAATGAGAATGAAACAGCCTAGAGAGCCTGCATTGTGCACAGTGCAGTGACCACATGGGGTTTGACAACAGGGAAACGTCAGCATCTGTGTGACATCCCTGGTACACGCCTTCATTACATCCCGTCTGGACTATTGCAATGGAGTCCTGTCCGGGGTTCCCAGCAAAACCCTGGATAGGCTCCAATACGTCCAGAACTCTGCCGCCAGGCTTCTCACCCACACCAAGCCATGGCACCATATCACCCCCACCCTCATCCACCTACATTGGCTGCCGGTCAAGTCCCGGATTCAATACAAAACACTCATCCTCACGTCCCTCCATACCCTCGCCCCCCAGTACTTATCGGACCTCCTCCATCCCTACACCCCTTCTCGGAGTCTGCGGTCCTCAGACACGGGCCTGCTCTCCATCCCCCGCTCTTGCCTCCGAACTGTTGGTGACATGGCGTTCAGTGTTGCGGCCCCCACCCTCTGGAATGCACTTCCTGCCGAGATCCGTAATGCTGCCTCCCTGGACATCTTCAAATCATCACTAAAAACACACCTGTTCACTCTGGCCTTCGGGCCCGAGCCCTTTTCTGGTCCCCTGGCTTCCTTTAGTTATTTCTTTGGTTTGCCCGTTGATTGTCTGTCTGTTTTGTTTGTCCACCATGTACAGCGACCTTGGGTCCCTTGAAAGGCGCTATATAAATATAATTTATTATTATTATTATTATTATTATTATCCAATGCCCCTGAAACATTCTGCAGTCACACTGTATACACTGCTAATGCACGACCACACCCCCACTTGGAGAAAAAAACAGGCAGTATTTTAGAGAGATCAACCTGTCTTGATTTCAGAAAGAGAGAGAAGCAATGACAGGATGTATGTCTAAAGATAACCACTGCTTCCCCCCCCCTCCTTCTCTGACTTAATGTAGAAGTTTCTTCACACCCCGCTCTCCTGTGAGGAATAATCGTCACTTCGTCAGAGGAACCATCCAGGAGGTGTCTTTACGGACGCTATCACTGGGTAACTTCTGTCAACACATGCGTCACTCAGCGGCGCCCCGTCATCACCTGGGATTCGATAATAGGAGAGAATAGTCTGATCTGACACAGCTGTGTTTATTTCAGAACTGTGTTTGCTGAGCTTTATGGCCACACATTATTGTCTGATTATAGCTTCCAAAAGAGAGGATTTGCTGCTTTTCATAGTTTAATATCTTTGCATTTTAGACAGTGGGTTGAAAAGACGTCAGATGTGGCTCTTGGATAGGTTACAAACCGTCATCCAAAAAGAAAATATTGGAAAATCGCAAAATAGTTAAATAAAATAAAAACACCTAATTAATTTGCTCCAAAACTAAAAAAGGTTAAAATATATATATATATATAACTTAATTTGACTTGGGTTTTATAAAGTACTTTAATGGTTGGTATTGTCATTGTTGTTTTTCTTGGGCTTTTTGACTCTCTTATGAGATTGATGCATACATGATAAGGTCTGCTTACATGTTTGTAACGTCTCAATGTTATCCTATGATGTGTAGCCTATAAGAAAAATACAAATAGATAAATTGCGAATACATCGAGAAAGGTTCATAGTGTTTGAGGTGTCAGTATTATTGTCATTGTTCAGGCTGTGGACAGTAGTCCTGTTATATTGTGCCAACAGAAACTGGTATTATCATGCAGTAATGCTTATTTTTGCCCCAACTGAATTTGAAAATACTAACTTAAGAGAGGAGAAAAACTCTCTCTTCAAACTCACAACTTATTTGCCATACACCCATGTTTCTAAATGTGAAATCCAGTATATCCTATTGATCAAAGCAGAGGAGCAGAACTCAAAGCAGCTCTCCTTCATGTTTCTGCATCAGAATGACTGAAATAAGCACACGTTTCAAAATGCTTGCTCTATTTGTGATGTGCTTCTTGCCTCAAATGAATTCACAGATCACACAGTACCATGCATGTGTGGGAATTAATAGGCCCTCTAGCACCGAGTCGGCGATATTGATACATCCCAAACCTTTGTGAGTCACTTAACCCTTTCAACGCTAACGTGAAACACAATGCTGCAAAACGGAGCTGCTATTTCTCACTTCCGGGTGCTACATCAACATATTATTTTATTTGTGCACGACGCTCACCTTTGTCTGTTGTCCATGCCGTTTCCGACACGGCGCCGTAGCTCCTGAGCGCGCGCTCGGTGTCCGAAATAGATTTCTTCAGTTCCATGTCGGTCGGTGGAATGTCCTCGCGCCGAAACCAGGATGCACGAGACTTTCAGCTTAAGAAAAACCTACGCTGCTTCTGTGTGTGCGCACGTCCCTACAGATAACTCAGTTTCACCCGGTGATAAGGCTCCAGCGACCTGAGACGTTGAGCATCTTTATTCAAGCTTTCAAGTCCCTTTGACGTGTGGATGGAGAGGAGGATGTAGGGCGCATGCGCAGTGCGAGCAGGGAGGTGAAGACTAATCAGACACCCACTGACACCGAGATGACGTTAAAAAGAAAATGATGATAGTGCACTGGAGTTTTTATAATCAGCCTGTTCAATAAGTTGTTTTGTAGCAAGCCAACTATGTATTAAAAAGCAGGAAAATAGCTTAAATGGTGTAAGCTCTTTAAGCCTTTTGCCTCTAAAGTGTACATCTGCTTGTTATCTGGCATTATTACATTACATTGCATTTAGCTGACGCTTTTATCCAAAGCGACTTACAATAAGTACATTCGACCAGGAAGACACAACCTTGAAGAAAACAGAATCATATAAGTACATCAGGTTTCATAGAGCCAAACATTTCAAGTGCTACTCAACTGGCTTTAGATAAGCCAGTCCTTTATTAGTATATAAGTGCTTTGTTAATAGTTCTAACGCTCGAAGTGGAGTCGAAAGGCATGTTAGAATAACTGCCAAAGGATAAGTGCCAGATGTTTCCACATGAGGGGGCCCGGTTGGCATAATCGAGAAGTGGAATATAACAGGCTGTATTAAGAAACAACTTTAGTAATGGGTGCCTGAAGCATTTTTGTCTCATAAGCAGGGGGCGATCCAACAGAGTGGAAACGCAGACTGCAGGGAAAACTTGCATCCTTTGAGGCTGCATGCCTCAAAGGATGTGTGGAGGCAGAGCAGATGCAGATTCTAAAGTGTGAGTTGTATGGAAGAATGAGTAATATTTCTGTATAAACACACCAAGGATGCACCTCTGAAGAGAAAATGTCAGAGGTACACACAATATCAAATAGAATTGTGTGCATAAGAACAAAAAAAATCAAAATATAAAAGGTTCAAAGGTCAACCAAGGTTAATAACTGTTTTTTTGTGTTGCTGTGGCTGAAAAACAAATGATAAGACAATTGGTTTAATTTAATTGATTAAACAACAAATGTTATACATCTCCACCATAGTAAGTGCAACCTTTGTGCAATTGTGATCGAATCTTTTAAAATATCAACACCAATTGATAAAATAATGTGTTTAATATTACCTAGTTCTCAATCGCTGATATGAACGATGAGAATATTCATTGATTTAATCTCCAAGGGACAGTTATAGCACATCAGCATTAACATTAAAGGAAACAACCAATCTAGTACTATACTAATAATAAGTTATTAGTCTACGGATGCAATTTATAGGATGTCTGATAAAAGGGATGTTGGGTAAAAAACTATTTTGCAACACAATTTGTCATATATAATTATTATTCACAGTATTCATTCACTTCTGAGAGACATGTTAAATAATATAATCACACAACAGCTCTGGCATTAGCTACTTCAAAATCGCAAACCCCATTTTAGACCCAAACACATCAATACAAAATAAACATTTGTCAGGAATTTAAGTTAAGAAACACTAGTTAATGAAATGTTTTTGTTATTATATGCCTGAGACAAAAGATATGTCTGATCTAAACCCTTTAAAATTCTATAAATATAAATAGTAGGCAGCTCTTGTGATGCAGCTATTTAAAAAAATGACCTCCATAGAAAACTGCTTGGCAGGCATCTGACATTACATTTAAATAACCACTGCAGGCAAGGACACCTATAACATTGGCAAGAGGTAACATTTAAAAAAAAAAGGATAAAATATTATTATAATTGATGAAATGGTGCACTCCACTGTATAACATTTAACATAAAATACAATAGGCAGCATTTCCCCATTCAAGTAAATGGATGTTTGACACAAACATCTTCAGCTGTATTTCATTGCCACAATATTTAGAAGTAATGTGACTCTGGTTGAATACATGGAAATCAAAAACATGTGTTTATAGATATGTTTTAGTGTTTTTTAAGTGTATTGAAAAATATATGAATAATGGATTATTTGTACTTGTGTGAATGTTTATTTAGCACTTCTTGTACCAGAGTAAGTAAATGAACCAACGCAGAAAGTCCTTCGAGGTCAGGCACTGTCTTAGCACTCATGCTAATGAAAAGAGAATGATATTTAAAGGGGCCCTATGATGCAAATGTTCAGGTTCATATTTGTATTTTGTTCCTCTACTGCAGCGGGTCTCAAACTTTTTCTGTCAGGCTAAAACAACGTGTGCATTCCGTTGCTAGAACAGTGATAATAAAACAATGCTCCATAAATCTGTGTGGTCAAAAAACAAAACATAAGCTTGACGTTTCATAGAGGGTGCTCAAACATTTAGGGTTTCCCATCAATGTACCGGGCGCTACAGTTGAATTTTCTACTGCAACAATCCCCACGCAAATACACAGTGTACCTGCGACTCACAATGAAGGCTCGATAATCAGCTCACGGCATATAGGTGTAAGCGGGGGTAAAGTGCTATGTTTATAAGTGGGGAGTGGCCCTAACATAGGGGGGTCCGGGGGCATGCTCCCCCGGGAAGATTTTGTTTTAAATATTGAAGTTAAAAGCATCAATCTGATGCACTTTGAGAGCAAAATAAAGAGATCTATGGATACATCTCTCAACACCCATATGAAACAGAAGTGTAAACAGATGTTCTTTTTCTTTATGGATATTTTACAAATCACTCTCCTTTTAAACTTTATTCTTGTTTTACTGTCATATAGTATTTCATACCTGTTTTTCATTTATTCTCTTGTTTTTTTATAACTATAATGATCGTATAAACGTGTGCCTCGGAAATAATTGTTTACATTAATGGTGACCAAAACGTTTGAGACCCACTGAGATAACACTGAGAGAGTCCTTTAGCTCACTGAGCCTCTCAGTCTGACAGGAGAGGACTCTCCTCCACTTTGTTGTTGAAAAAACTCCTTATATCCGTTAGCGTAGCTCGCTAGCACCAGAGGCTAACAACAACGATCTCCGGTACCGGTGCGCTCTCTCTCTCTCTCTCTCTCTCTCTCTCTCTCTCTCTCTCTCTCTCTCTCTCTCTCTCTCTCTCTCTCTCTCTCTCTCTCTCTCTCTCTCTCTCTCTCTCTCTCTCTCTCTCTCTCTCTCGCGCGCGCACACAAAATGGCTCGTTCCACACACACACACAGAGCCGAGCTTGAATGAAACACAGAGACCCAGACGTACTTGTACTTTATCATATTATTTTCTAATCAATAATTTTTCAAATTATGATTTATTTATAAATTTTTTTACATTTGTTCTCCTGGTCTCTGTCATACCTCTGCGCCCCCCACTTTGAGAAACACTGCTCTGTGGGGATTTTAGCCATTCAAGACCATTAACATGCACAAATACCTAGAATACTACAAGAAAGGGATAACCCCTTAAAAGCACAATAGGGCCCTTTTAAAGAATTGTCTAGAAATGTGGCCAATGTTATGAAGTAAGAAGTCTAAGCTAATATATTAGCCGCCTCTCTGCACTGTGGCAAACATTCTTCCCCACTTTCATTCCAGTTTTGAGACAAAAGCAGAGGAATGTAGATCATCAACCTGCACACATTCCCATCATTATCAAAGCTTCTCCTCAGACATAGAAGTCATCAAGAATCATTTTCATATGGTCCAATTAAATAAGGGAACTCTCCTGTTTGAAATGAGAGAACACACACGGTTGCATTTATAAAAACAAACCGGACGACAAGTATAGCACATTGATGGATAACTAGGACTGATTGACATGTTTCCAGTGAGGTGATGTGCATATTAAAAAATATACACATTCAACTTGCTGGACGCTCTTTCGCAAAGCACCTTAGAGCGTAATGAGGATACGCATTTTAGTTCAACCTCAGAGAGACTTTGAACTCAAACCCTGGCAGTGAAAGTGCAACATGGACCACAGACAGGACCACCTTTTTGTTTTGTCCCCTCCATTACAGACACTGATCCAACATACTTCAGTTCTGAGTAGGTTTGGATGCTACTGGTCCCTCTTTGGAAGCATCTTTCTGGTCCTCGCAGTCTACTTTCTCCATTGTGGATTCTCCTTCCTCTTCTTTAGGAGGGAACATCCAAGTCAGAGCAGCAGCAGCCGTGCCGTCGCCGCTCTGACGCGAGAAGCAGAGGAAGGTGGCCCAGACGAAGCCGCAGCAGCCGGTGAAGGTGGTCCGCAAGTACAGAGGCACGAAGGTAAAGTTCAGAAACTAAGGGAGAAACATGATGGTTAAAATATATTTATATCATTGTGCTGGTATATCACAAATCAATAAATCATCCAGATTATAATTGAGATGTAGTAAATATAACTTTCTTGCGCAATTATTGTTTGAGATGACATACAGAAACTCTACTCTCTAATTCGAACTACATCAGTTTGTTTGAATTAACACATTTTTATGTCATTATGATATTTTGAAAAGGTGTTACAATTATATGGGTTAATGTTTCAAAATTAGCAAAATAAGGGGAGATTTTTTTTATTTTAAATAGCATTCGAAATGAATAAGGTAATTCAAGTTTTAATAGTGAAGAAAATCTAAACTCAAAGGTCTACTTACAACACATAAAGTTATACTCAGGAGGAGGAAGTGATTGAAAGCTAAGTATCATTAGCAAGTGGACCTTTGATCTTGGATTTTCTTCACAATATATTATCTAGAATATGTAAGGGAGTTGTTAATATTTACCTGCATAAATGGCCAGAACATTAGCCCCGTCTGAAAAGAGACAAACAGAGAGCAGACACCTGTCACAACACGTCACAGTTTGCACTACATTTCAGACCTGAGCGCTCCAAGGTGCTGGGGATCATGTCGTGACAGCCCGTCTCTCACCTTATAGGTATTCAGGAATTTCTCTCTCCAGTCTTCAAAAATGTCATCTTTGCCCTCCAAGAAGCTGACACCTGGGTGGAAAAACAAGACAAAGTTGATTTCTGTCAGCTGGGAACTGATGTGACCGATGGCAGGTGAACAGACAGAGAGTGAAAGTGGACTTTGAATACACACAGATGTAGTTTGTCCTATAGGAGTAGGGAAAATAATGTCAACAATATCTAATTTAATCTCAAACTGTTTTCGTGATATTCTGGTAC